GGCTTAGTTGCTCCACGGCATGTGGGATCTTCCCGGGCAAGGGCTTGAACTCGTGTCCCCTGCATTGGGAGGCGGATTCTTAACCACTGCGTCACCAGGGATGGCTCATTGATTATGTCTTTTTGATTATAGCATCCTGTGGGTGTAAAGTTCTATCTCATTGTGGGTTTAATTTACATTTCTTTGATTGCTAGTGATGTTGAACATCTTTTCATGTGCATGTTGGCCATTATATATCTTCTTTGGAAAAATGTCTGTTAAGATATTTTGTTCATTTTTGGGCTTCCCTGGTGGCGCAGTGGTTGAGAGTCCATCTGCCGATGCAGGGGACATGGGTTCATGTCCTGGTCCGGGAGGATCCCACATGCCGTGGAGCGCCTGGGCCCGTGAGCCATGGCTGCTGAGCCTGCACGTCCAGAGCCTGTGTTCCGCAAACAGGAGAGGCCACAACAGTGAGAGGCCCGCATACCACACACACACACACAAAACCTGCAAGAAGATATTTTGTTCATTTTTAATTGGATTGTCTTTTTGTTGAGTGGTAAGAGTTCTTTATATATTTTGAATACTCAACCTTTATCAGATATGATATTTTCTTTCATTCAGTGGGTTGTCTTCACTTTCTTGATGGTGTCTTTGCGGCACAAAAGTTTTAAAATTTGATGAAATCCACTTATTTTTCCTTTGGTTGCTTGTGCTTTTGGTGTCATATCTAAGAAAACAGTGCCTAATCTAAGGTCACAAGGATTTATGTTTATTTTTTTTCTAAGACTTTTATGGTTTTGGCTCTTATATTTAGGTCTCTAATCTATTTTCAGTTAATTTTTAGAAATTTAATATGGTGTGAGGTAGGGGTCTAACTTCATTCTTTTGCATGTGAATGTCTTGTCCCCATAGCATTTGTTGAGAGGCTGGATGACTTTTAAGGCTCCTTCTGACTCTGAAGATTCTATGATGCTTTGTAGTATATTGGTTTCTGTTATTGTCCAAATAGGTGGACAGTCAAGATTACGTATGATGGCCATCCTTTTCCCAAGAATACATTGTGTCTAAAAACAGGGATAGCCATTAGTCTTTTATCAGTTTGTTGTAGATTTCTCAGTTGCTTTAAAGTCTGTCCTCCTTTGACTTTTATGATACTGGTTTGCTTCTGGTCTTCTTTGAGCAGCGCAGTTTTCTTTTCTTCCTATTTTTGCACATAAGTACACATACCCCTCCAGTTTTTTTGGTATGGGAACTGTTCATGCAATTTTAATTAGCTTTGTCATTTAGGTAGCTCAGAGTTTCTTCTCAAGGCTAACTACAGTCTAATAAAAATTTCCTCTGAATATGCCAACAACACCTAGAATTTAACATGTGAAAAATAGGTGTTCAGTCTTCCCCTAACCATAAGCCCTCCCAGTTTTCCTCATTGTCTTCTCTTAGTATCTTAAACCAACCTTCGAGTTTTCCAATTCCCGACTCCCCATTCATTATTAAATGTTGCTGATCATTACGTGGTAAAAGCCCTTGGACCCATCCTTTCCTTTCTATAGCTATAGCTGTCTTCTGGCTGATTTCCCAGACCCTAGTTTCTCTCTTTTAGGTCCTTACTCAACTGCTGGAATAATCCTCCTCAGACACCCTTCTGATTAAATCATTTCCCTGATCCTAGATCCACAGTATTAAATTTATATGACACAAGTTAACATTTAACCCACTGCTACTTTCCTCTCCTTATCTCTTGTTACTTCCCTTACTGGATTTGGTAGTTAACCTTACTTATTCTTTGTTCTTATTTCTTTGTTCTCATCTTTTTCTCATTGCACACAGTCCTCTTTTCTCCTAGTGTGCCTTTGCTTCTCTTCTCTTCTGAATCTCACTCCCTTCAATGATTGATCCCATCTGATTCCTCTCCCTTTTTTTGGCATTCTTTCAATACTTAGACATTTAGTTTGTCTAGTAATAAGATCCATAGTATCCTGTTCCTTTTTTGCTGTTTGTTTTGGATATACTACTTTTTAAAAGCATTGTTTCATGTGGGAACCATTGTTTCCGTTTCATTTATGGTTCTCTTTCTTTCCTACCTACAGCACAGAGTCCTGAACATAATAGTGGTCCAATAAATCTTCTTGGCTGACAGATCTATAAAAGTTTTGGGGGCAGATGTGTGATGTTTAGCATTATCATTTTTTAATTTTAGAAATGCAAAATAATGCCTTTTGTGCCATTATTTGGTTTTAATTTTTTATATTTTGTTTTATGCCAAGTTTTGAGAACAGTCTTCTCAGTACAGTTAAATGAAGTTCAACAACATATTACTACAGATATTAAATCTAGTTTATTGAGCAGTAACCACCCGATATATCAGATTCTCTCAAGGGAAAGGTTAGCTTCTTAGATGCTGGCTAGGCATTTGTTCAAAGTGCATTATAGCCTTAAAGCTAGGACCATTTAAGATATTAAGATCCTTGACAGTTTAGTAGCAAAATAGTCACCAGTACCCAGAATAAGGAGTAGTGACCTGCTTGCTTTCTTCTACTGTCTGAACTTGTGCTTCTGTTGCTGGCCTCCTCTTAAAAAGAAGCATTTCTTCTAACTTCCGTGTCACCCGAAGTCGGTATCAAGAGGGAAAAAAAGGATTGTTGGGGTGGAGCTCGGCTGAGAGAGGATACAGGCAGAGGGCAGCCCCCAGGCCCAGTGGCTGGCTGTCTCACTCCTTGCCTGCCCACCCACCATCTCTCTCACCTCAGGAGCAGAGAGTTGACTTGAAGATAGTCCTCAGTTCATAGCCCCTGATTAACATCACCAGTGCAAGGTTGCTTTCTTATTTCGTTACTTTCTTTTTAACCTTTTACCTTCACTCCACATGCCCATTCCTTTCTCCGTTCATGTGCACCCACTCTAATGTGTTTGTTTTATGTCCTTATACCTACATATTTGCTTGAAAGATATGTAGTATAATTATAGTGTGTCTTTAGCTTACATATGGTATTTGCTTATTTTTCTCAATGCTGTGCTTTTTAAGATATGTTCATATTGCTGTAGGTATATCTAAAGTGTTTTCTAAAAGCTACGTGGAATTTCCTATTTGTATCTACTCCATTTTGATTCTAAATTCTAACAGTTACAGAAATCGAAGTTTACTTCAGGCTCCCTGCTACATCATCATCACAGTGAACATTCTCACACAGGTCTATAGAGTCTATAGTTTGAATTCGGATACAGACAGCCTTATTTGAGAATTTCTCTGGAATTTATCCACCAGTATAGGATCACTGGATAATAGGACGTAGCTTTAATGTCACTAAGTGCAGCCAGATCACTTAGCAGAATGGCTGTATCCGTTTACACTCTTACCCATAATGCATGAGAGTTCTTGCCTCCCCACATCTTTGACAGTACCTACTATTACCCACCATTCTAATTTTTGCCCTTCTGATAGGTATAAGTGCTAGCTCATTGTTTTAATTGGCATTTTTCTTGTTGGTTTTATTTTGATCATCTCTTTATGTACTTGTTAACCATTTGAACTCTTTCTGTGAGTTTCCTACTCATATCTTTGGGCCATTTTTCTATTGGGTTTCCTCTGATGTTCATATCAAATTGTAGGAATTCCTTGTCTATGCTAGAGATTTAATCCGTTGTCAATTATAGACGTTGCAGAAGCTTTTCCTTGCCTGTCACCTATCTTAACCCTGTTATGGTATTCTTTATTGAACAGAAATCCATAATTTTATTGAAGTCAAATCCAACAGATTTTACTGTGTAGTTTGTATTTTTAGAGCCTGAGTTGGGAAGTCTTCCTGCTCCTTAGTGTTTTCTGTCTGTGGATTATCCACACAAGCCTGTTTACATGGCCTTTTGAAGAGAAGTCTTTCCTTTCTTTCTCACCTGTGACTTGGAGGAGGCTTGACACTGTTAATGTTTGGCTGCCCCTTGATGGAGGAAAAAAATGTGAGAAAACTGATGCATGCTCCTTTCTCTAAGCCCTGCACTTCCCCTCACAGGACTGAGCCCCTGTGGCCCTGTTTGTACTACATGAATCCTGTCTGTTCAGCTACAGCTGATTAGAAAGTGCTGCATACCTACCCAAGCTGAGTAGGTATGCAGGGAATTTGGAATTATGACCAGTCTCTGCTGGCCCCTTGAAGGACATGCAGTTCGAGGGATTTGGGGGTGAACATCTTCCTTTATGTTCACAGAGAAGCTAGAGAAATGCTGACGGAGAAATGAGAATGAGGAAGATATGCACAGAGGAACAGAGAAAAAAGCCCTCTGGCCCCACAGAGAGGGAGAACGATTGAAGTAGAATGTGAGAGTAGCTGTCTGGTATCCTGATGGCTTTCCAGTCTCTGATTGTGTTCTCTTCTGAGATCAGATTGCGTTTCCTTATGTGTATTAGTTAGGGATGGCTAACTACTCTAACAGATAAACTCCAAAGTGTATAGTGGCCCTAACACAACAGAAGTTTATTTCTCACTCACATAAACAGGTCCAGATGGTTCTAAGTTGGTGAGGTGGTGACAGTGGACGGCTCTGTGCCACACAGTTACTCGGGAACTCGGGTTGATGGAGGCTCTGCCATTTTCAACACATGACTTCCAACATCTCCGTAGATGTTCTGCATCCAGCCTGCAGAAAGGAAATGAACATGGAGTTCAATATATGGGACGTTGTATAGGCCAGGCCTTGAACTAGCACCTGTCATTCACATTGCTTTGTCTGGAACTCAGTCACACGGCCACATTTAAGTGTATGGGAAGCTGAAAAATATTATCCACCTGTGGACCCGAAAGGAAGAGAAAATGGGTTTGGTGAACAGCTAGAGATTGCCACATCATATTTATTACACGTGTGATACTCTTGTGATGCCTGTATATCCTTATAATCAAGTTCCCGTTTTTTCTTAAACTTGTCTGAGTTGACTTCTGTTATGTATCTCAGTGCGTGAGGTGTTTTCCTAATAGCCATATTTAAAATAGTACAAGTAATAAAGACTGGTTAATTTATTTTCTCAGGGAAGTTGGGTCGATTTCCACCTATGATGCATCATCACCAGGCACCCTCAGATGGCCAGACCTCTGGGGCTCGCTTCCAGAGGTCTCACCTTGCAGAGGCCTTTGCAAAGGCTAAAGGACCAGGTGGAGGCACTGGAGGAGGAGGTAGTGGAAGAGGCCTGATGGGGCAGATTATTCCAATCTACGGTTTGGGGATTTTTTTATATATACTATACATTTTATTTAAGGTAAGTGGAGTCATCCTGATCATATTACATCAATGAAAATCCAGTATCATCATAATAAAAATCATTGTCAGCATTAAAACCCTTTATAGTTCATAACCCTTTTTCAAATCTGTCATCTCTTTAAATCTTGCCTCCTCTTTATGAGGTACCTAGGATAGCTGTCACGTATCTCAGTTTTACAGATGAGAAAATCTTCACTCAGAACCTGAACAATTTGCCCCAGAATTCACAACTAAAAACGCAGAGCCACCACTTGAACCTGAATCTTCTAGTTCCTAATCCACTGAGCAATAAAGTTCAAAGCCTACCGTCCCCCGACCCTGCCCCAATTTTTTCTTGATTGGGCATCTTTGCAAACTGTAAAGGCATAAAGGTGTTCTCTAAGAAGAACTTTATCGTGAGGATTGGCATAATGATTTCGAGGTAGCCACTGTGAGGCCAAATAATGACTGTACCAGCACCACTTTTTCCTCCTTTTACCCCCAGGAGTATGAGGTGCTGTTTTTAACATCAGTTGTAGTAATTCTCCTGAAACAGAACTGCCGCGTCCTGAAACTAAGCCTGATATTTCCCAGCTCTGGGAAGATATGATTTGGGTCCTTTTATTTTATTTTTTTGTGGTACGCGGGCCTCTCACTGTTGTGGCCTCTCCCGTTGCGGAGCACAGGCTCCAGACGCGCAGGCTCAGCGGCCATGGCTCACGGGCCCAGCTGCTCCGCGGCATGTGGGATCTTCCCAGACCGGGACACGAACCCGTGTCCGCTGCATTGGCAGGCGGACTCTCAACCACTGCGCCACCAGGGAAGCCCAATTTGGGCCCTTTTAAAAGTAGACTCCCAGTTAAGTTCTACCTCCAGGCAGGCTTTGGCCAGCCATGGGCCTGGGCCTGGGCCCTGTAAGTAGAAGCAGGAGGCTGCCCTCCTAGGTAGAGTAAGAGGTGACTTCATTCTTGCCTAGGAATTCTGCAGGCAGCCCAGGTTGAGTCTTGGATGAGCATGGGCAAGGCAGATGGCTTGTGAAGAGATTTTTTTCTTGTGCCTTGACCTTGATAATTTTTTACTTGAAAACCTTCTGTTGGCTTTTTTTTTTTTTTGAGATGTTTCTCTAATGTTGCTATTTGATTTGATTTTCTCCCTACCTTTTTTTTTTTTTTTTCATTTAATATGAGGGGTTCCATGACTTTGAGGTTCTGAGCTGCTGTTGATGTACTGTACCTCCTTCAATTCTCAGCTCTCAAAGGGGAAAAGTACTGCAGAGGATCGGAAGTGCTCTACTGCCACACCTGGAAGCACCCACAGGAAAATTAGTAAGTGCCCCTTTCAGTATATTTATAAGTTTCATTGAGTCAGACAGCTGTAATACAGCCAGAGGGGCAATCTGTGGATATGTCTTAAAAGCATTTCTCAAAAGTTGTCCCAGATTAATCTGATGCCGATTTTTACCTTAGCTCTCGGAATTCTCAAGTTTCCATATTGATGTTGGGCTTTTGAGGGAAAGATAGTTTAAAAAAGTACACAACCACCAGTTCACTTTTTTATATATTAGCAGATTAATATTTTACACTCGCAATGGGTTACTTCTCATTTCTAGACTTCAGAATATTGGTAGCAAATTTCTTTATTTCACAGTGAGATCAAGTCATTGTCAAAGTCAGTTATTAAATCTAGGGACAGACTTTAACACTTCTGACTCTTGAAACATGATCATCCAATATTTACCGACCAATTAGAATATTCTGTGCTCTCTGGAAAAAAGAAATATATATGGCATGGCTCTTCTCTCTGAGAATTTATAGTCTAGGATGAATGTCAGGGGAAAATAACTTGTGAAAAGTTTACTACCTAGAAGGAAGGGACTTAGCGAAAGCCTTCTGGGAAATCACACCTAGCTGTGTATGAAGGAGGGCCTATTAGATAGGGTGCTTGAGTAAGACGCAGTCTGACAAGAGGGCAGCTGTGGGAAAGAAGGCATGAAGAGTAGGTAGGATAAGCTGTGTTGTTGAAGGCCAAACTATCCTGTGGATACTGAAGCCTCATCGGAGTTTTTTAAAAGAAAGACATCAGCAAAATGACTGTGATCCCTGCTGTATTCTTTTTTTTTTTTGAATTTTTGTATTCTTAATTGAAATAGTGTCTTACTAAAAGTGATTGTAAATGCATCATGAAATTGTTTTTAAAGACTTGTGAACTCTAAAGAGTAGCAAATTCTGTATCCTGTCACATAATGCATTTAAAACAGAAAGAAGTAAATAAAATGAATTCCTAAGAGCAGCTGTTTTATAATGTAGTAGCAATTATATCAGCTTCTTATGCTTCAATTTTGAATCATACAGAAAATAAAAATAACCTAAGCATTTATGTGGCACAGATGTTAATTGCATGCATAAGAATTTGTTGTACAAGTACTAAAAAGCCTTTGAAATATTACATTTTATAGTGACCCTCTCAATATATCTGTGTACAATGATACTCGGGTGTGAAACAGAACTACTAGATTATCTACATAATGAGCAACATTTTATTTTCCTATTATCTTAAAGTTCATTTCATGTACTGATTGAGCGATTGATTTTTTACGTTCTGCTTTTAGGGTCTTAACGTTACTTTCAGTAGTTGTGGTCCTGTCTGACCCTTGTTGAGAAAGCTGCTTCTGGGAGATAGGGTTATACCACTCACCCCCGATGACTGAAGTAGGAAACCTTGGGCAGGAAGGTCTCAGCCCTAGTTCAAGACTTCTGTTGAAGGAGCGTAACTTTTATACTGTTATATCTTGCGTATAAGTTTTCAGACCCTAGGGACAGGTGAAATATTGTTCATTTCAGGGCCTTAACACCTTCTCTGAAGTCCTTTACCAGATTTGGTACTTTATCCTCAAGTATCATTTGAATTAGAAAGGAGTTATCTTCATTCCTCCTTGGCTGACTGTGTAGGGCTATGTTTTTCACTCCTAGGTATTTTCTTTGGCTGGTCCTGCTATATTTCTGTGTGTGAGAGAGTGATTTATTCATCACTTTCTAAACGTGTGTCCTTTAGATCTTGGTGTCTAGACCTCAGTACTCTTTGTGTCCTGATTGGATTAGCTGAATCTCAGGACCAGCCTGACTCTCAGGACCAGCCTGGATTACTGTAGAGTGTCACAGCCAGCCATGTTTCAGAAAAGGGCTTAGGGAGTTGTACAGGATGCTTCTTAGATTGATGCTTGTTTTTCAGCCAATTTTGAGCTTGTTCAACTACAAGAAAAACTGAAGGAGACTGAGGAAGCCATGGAAAAACTAATCAACAGAGTGGGGCCTAATGGTGAGAGGTACGTTTTCGCATAACAGAGCTCAGACTGTTTCCCATTTAGAGAGTGAATTCAAAATTTTGTTTTTCTTTGATTTCTGGCCCACTTGCTTTCATTGTTATCATATTTGTCACTTACATATTATTTTTCACTGAACCTTTCCGTTTTCACATTTTCAAGCAGTTTCATTTTCAAGAGTATGTGTTCCGTGTTGTGCAACATTATTGTGAGAGTGAGTAAATTTGTGAGCAGATACTACAGGCTAAAATAACTGGGTTTTAAGGAAGACAATATCCTAGCTGTCTAAAAAAAGGCAGAATTTTAAGTAAAACCAGATTATTAAATATTGTGGTTTCTGTTTGAGGCAAAATGAGAGAAGAGGGCAAGTACGATCAGAGTGCGCATTTGTTTTGTGTTGACTATTCCAGAACAGAACTAGACATGTAAAGTAGGTGTCAGGAGCCAAAACTAGCCCTTTAGGATGCTCTGCAGCGAAAACACTCCTCTTGCTACAGGGCTGGCTGAGGATCTGAAAAGGTGGCTTCAGGGGGTTGATGGAAGTGGGCATCAACTAAGAAAACGTGGGTGTAGGAGGGCCAGGGAGGAGAAACCAGAATGTGAGATTGAGGACAAAGGGGGATTCGGTTCACACTAGGCCTTCTGACAATAATGGAAGGAGCACTGGGGGTGAGCGGCAAAATCCCATGCAGGAGGATGTATTGAAAGGTCCCGCCTATAGCCCCGTGGGCTCAGTGTGGAGAGTTTGCCCCAGAAAACTGCTCTACCTTAGCCTCTTCTGTTGGCCATCCTTGTGCTACTAGTGCCCCACACTGTTTCCCCTGCTTCCTGGCTCCTGCCTTGCCCATCTTTGGCCGGATAGGAGAAGAGCAAGCATCCTCGAATTGAAGTCCCTTGGCTTGGCTTTTCCGTGCAAAGTCTACATTGCTGCTGAAATGACATTTATGAGGGTGAACCTTGCCTATCTGGGCCCATGACCCTTGACCTTTGTTTGGTCCAGAAAGCAGAGTGACTATCTGGACTTCTCCAGAGTGGTAGAGATAGGTGTACATATCTATACATGCGTATATCCCTGTGAGTGGATAATACTCTTTGGCATTATTGAGCACTTACTAAGAACAAAGCTCTAAGCTAATGCTTTATATACATTATCTAATGATTGACTGTTTTGTATGGGTGTGACTAAAGCAATTTGTGCAGCTATACTTTTCTGGCATTTTCTGCCCTTATCCTGTACCATTCACAGTCTGGGTGGGGAAGTACCAGACTTCTATAGACCCTTGTGCCTCAGAAAATATCTGTACCCTGGCCCTGGTCTATTTGAAGCCCTAGGCCACACCTAAGTGTCAGGAAAACTATAGGTGTGTATCTGTGGGCAGGGCCTCCCACCTGGGAGGTCCAACCCTGGGCTTTGGGCTAAGAAGCCATGTGAAGATATTTTCTCACTATTCTTCACTGCTATTCAGACTCCCTTAGCTCAAACCAGATAACCCCACCACGCATACCATTTGTCCATTGCCGAAGCCAGGGGTGCAGTACTGTGACCCCTAACTACTGTCTGTCCTCCTTGTGCCAGCTAGGGTTGCTGCTCCACGTTTTATGTGCGAAGGCAGAGGAGTTGCGTGTCACCACCGCCACTGCCCCTGGAGCTGCGCCATCTCATTGTTTCTGGGACAGCGGGTCCTAGCTCAGGTTATATATACTCCTAGTAAGTTGCTGGAGCGTGGGCTCTTTGAGAACATGCTGAGGCCACTGCCACATGGCAATGATTGTGTAAAATATTTTCCACAGTACCTCTCAGGAACCAAGGAGCAGCTCTCCTTCCACTCAAGAGAGCATAGCTTGTGTCTCTCTTTCCCAGATGTCTCATTTTCCAGTCTATAAGGAGGTGACCTTTTCTCTCTGAAACTCCTTAATCTGAAACCTTTTATCCTTACAGGTAGGCCCTATGGGACTTCCACCTTCAAAACTGCAAGGGCTAGGTAGCTGCATGTTTTACATTCTTTTCCTTTTTATACTTAAAGCCTTTAACCTTAGTTTCTGTGGCATTTGTTCTTTTACAAGTCTGTGCTTCTAGGATTATTAGAAGAGCCCAAAATACCCCAGTATTTTTTCTGTCAGATAAGATTTTATCACATTGCCAGGCTTCTGGAGGTCAAGGAGAGGATTTAAGACAAAGAAGACATGTTCATTTGCAGCCTTCTAAGTCCTTTTATATAATATCACTCCATAACTGTAAGATTTTGCTTAAAATTCCCAAAATATGCTCTTTCTGATACTTCATCTTAATGCTTATGTAAGAATCAAAATATGGGAAAGGTCTTTAATACTATCTAACAAAACTTTTCAGACAGCTTTCACCTGTGAGCGATACAAGTCTGCACACATTTTTAAATAATTAAGCCTCCTGGAAGGTTGGTATTGTGCCATGTTATGTCTGATATTAAGCAGACTCTCTAGCCCAAGGACACAAAGACTAAGGAAAGGATCTAGGAATCCGAATCAAGGTGTCCTCATTTTTGTCCTTGTGATCAGTGAAAGTTCCTTCCTGGAGCAGCATGTCCCACTGTAATTATTTACCTAGAAGCATGGAATGGCCCAAGAGGAGAAATGAGGGTACAGCCTCTGGCAGCAAACACCTTGGCAGGCATGTTGAGCATTATGTGGGACCACAGATTTCTGGCAGGCGTTATGGGGGTGTAAAGTCTGAGGACAGGCTTAGTCTCTTTTGTTCACTGTGTTCACATAGTAGGTACTAAGTAAATACCATTGGAAAAGAGTAGATATTCACTTTCGATGCAAGTATCTGTACTTATTACCATGATAGAAGAGTAAATCATGGCCATTCCCTGTTGAGATCCTTCTCTTCCTTTGCTGACCTCTATATTCAGGGTCCTACTGGACATGTCTCATAGATAGCTACTCTTATCCTCATCAAACAGTAAATGTCCCCTGAGTGAATGAACATCCAAAGTGGAACTCATCATCTACCCCCACATGAACCTATTCTACCTTTAATGTTCCCCATCTCAGCACATGGCCCCTCCATCTACATGGCTCCTCCATCTACTTAGTTGCCCAAAGCAGAAATTAGATGTCATCTTTGATTCACCTTTTCCTTCACTTCCCATATCTCATTAATCACCATGTCTTGTCATTTCTTCCTAATTAATAAGTCTGTCTCCCTGTAAAACACTCTAAACTCTACTAGGGCAGGGATTATCCTTCTTATTCCCAGAGCCTAGCACAAGCCAGTAGTAGGCTTTAGAAAAGTATTAATTGAAATGGAAGAATGAGTAAGTGAGTGAGTAGAGAATGCCTGTATTTTTGACATAGGTCGGAACTGTCTCGTGTGGTTTCTTTTCCTCTAATTTGCCTCCTTTCAATTCACTTTCTGCTTTCCAAACCAGTGGATTACATCTTTTGTTTTAACCCTTCAATAGGTCCCTGTTGCTCTTGATAAAGAGTAGAATCTTTAACATGACTTACATGGTCCTAGGTGATGTGGCTCTGCATACCTCAATTGCTGTATCTTTCTCCGTTACTCTCTCTCTCTGTGTCTGTGGTCCAGCTACACTGCTTGCTGTTCCTCTGAAGTACCTGGGCACTTTCACTTCTAGGATTTTGCATTATATACTTTTTTCCTTTGCTTGGATGTTGCCCCCGACCGCCTCCCCACGCACACTTGTTTTTAACTCTTGCTTGTCTTAGAGGTCTCAACTTAGACATCATTTCCTCTGAGAGTCTTTCCCTGAACCCACAACTTGGTTAGGTGTTCCTCCCATATCCTCCCTTGGCCACCTCTGTTTGCTGGATAATGTAAGCATCGTATTACTTCCTTATCTTCCGTTAACTTTTCTGTCTTCCCTAATGCCCTGTAACCTTATTGAGGACAGGGAATTTTCATTGTTCAAACTTGCATTCCTAGAGCTGGCTCATTGTTCAAATTTCGTTCCTAGTGCTGGCACATCGACAGTGTCTATACGTGTTGAAAGAATGAATGAGGTAGATGTAAAGAAAGTAGTTTAAAGCAGGCATTTTCAGCAATAATAAGAATATCTTTGATACCTATTTTGATTCGTTCTGCACAGCCCTCTATGGTTGTCAGTAGCAATTATTTTCTCTTTAAGGAACTGCATCTCAGAAAAAAAGTGTGCTCTGAGAACGTGTATTAGTTTTCTGTGGCTGCTATAACAAATTATCCCGAACTTAATGTCTTAAAACAATACACGTTGTTATCTTATAGGTCTGTATGTTAGAAGTCCTACACTGGGCTAAAATCAAGGTGTTTGCCAGACTGTGTTCCCTCCTGGAGGCTTTGGGGTAAAATCTGTTTCCTTGCCTTTTTCAGATTTTAGAAGCTGCCCACATTCCTTGGCTCATGGACCCTTTCCTCCACTTTCAAGGCCAGCAGCAGTGGGTTGAGACTTTCTTACGTTACATTATTACTTTGGCCTCTTCTGCCTCCCCCTTCTACTTTTAAGGACCCTCATAAATACATTGTGTCCTCCCAGATAATCCAGGATAATCTGTTTTAAGGCGAGCTGATTTGCAACCTTTATTCCATTTGCAACCTGAAGTCCCCTTATGTATAAGGTAACATCATTACAGGTTCCAGGGACTAGGATGTGGACATATTTGGGGGGGGTGGGGTGAGGAGACATTATTCTGCCTACCACAGAAGGTCTCAAGAAAAAGAGAGAATTTAAATGAGCCTTACAGGACGGAAGGATTCCCTCTGGCAGAGTTGGGGGGAAAATGTTTCAGAGGGAGAGGGTGGCACAAGCAGCAAGCAAGGTGAGAGGTCAGGCATGTTTTTTGGAATAGCAAGTAGTTCGAAGTAACGGGAGTAGGGTACACCAGGGCTGTGGTAAATGGTTAGGGAGGTAACTAATGGGAGAAAAAACTAGAAAAGTAAACTGGGGGCAGACTGGAAGGCCCTGAACAGTAGGCTGAGAAGTTGGAATTTGTTGTCTTTACAGTGGAGTGCCTCTGAAGGCTTTTGAAAAGAAATGGCATAATCTGCTGTGCTTTAGAAAAATAACTCATGTTCAGGGTGGCTATATGCTAGGATATTGAAAAAGTTCTAGCAAAAGTGATAAATAGGCCAGTGAGAGTAGAAAAGAGGTGGGGGGCAAATTAAGGGGACTTCAAGGAGGAAAAAAGAATCACAGGCTGTATCAGGATTCCTTGGTTGCAAGCAGACAACTCTGGGTAGCAAAATTTGTTTTTTGGGGGGGTGCAGCCAAATTTATTGGAAGAGTATGGGGTCGCTTACAGTATCAAAAGAATAGCTGAAGATCTAAGTTTCAGGAAGAGTGGGAACCAGAGCAGCTGTAGGGATTTAGGAGCAGGAGCAAATAGTCTCTTCAAGGACTGCTGCCGGGATGAATTAACATGAAAATTTTTCAGTTCACGCTTCACTGTGTTCAAGATCCAGTTTTAGGAGAAAGTATAGTTGGCCCAACTGTGTATATCACTGAATCAATCACTGCAGCCAAGGGGATGGAGTGTGATGATAGGCCATGGGCCACGTGGCCACTCTAGAAGGAGAAGTGAGGGGATGGATGGCTTCAACCTCTGCACTGTGAGCAGAAGAGGGATTGGTTTTCCAAAGGAAAACTGACTAGATAAGAGAAATGAAGGAGAGGAGATGGATGATTTGGAGACTTATAGCCCAAACTGGGAGGAAGATTATGGCATCAACCAAAATAAAAGCACAGAAGAATGAAGATAAGGCTTTGGAATAGGGATCATAAGTTCACCTTTGAATATGGTTGAAGTGCCATCAGAACATCCATGTATGATAAGCAACAACAATAGGAAATTTGGGTATTGAGGTCAGAACAGAGGACACAAGTTCGGAAGTCACTTGGCTGGGAGTAAGAGGTAAGGGCCATGCGGGAAAGATGAGATCACCAAATCCTTGAGGCATGTAATTACTGTGTGGCAGTTGCCAGCATTCTTTTGCTGGTCTGGTTTCCGTTCTCATCATGAATGGTGTTGGAAGACACTGTTTCATTCTTCACTCTGTGTTTTAACTCTTGGACTCACAACTTGATGATTCCTCTGGATTTACAGCAGTAGCATTCAAAAGTCTGAGTTATCTCCCAACTTGACGTTTTATTTTTCTAGCATCTTGGAATCGGCCATAGCCAACCTCACCTAGCTTACCTGTTCACGCAGCTGCTCACGATCCTGGGCCAACTAGGACGTGGTTTTGAAGCGTGAATTTAAGTTTAACTTTATTATAGTGACAAGGCCTCCAAGTAGAAATGCCCAGGAGGTAACTGGAGTTATGAGACTGGCCTTTGTTTGAAAAGTCAAGATTAGAGGTAGAGATTGGGCATCGTCTGTGTAGAGGTGATGGTTTAATCTGTGTAATTGGGTCAGCTTCCTGAGGGCATGCCTGTAGGAGTGGAGAAACAAGAGTCCTAGGATTGAGCCTTCAGGAAAACCATGTTTTAGGATGTGGGAGTAGGAAGGTGAGCCAGGATCAAAGATACAAGGAATGGTTAAATAAGTGGGAGGAATACAAATGCCAAGGGAGGAGGACATTTCACGGAGAGGATGGTCCTTAGTACAGAAAAGTCAAGAAGAATGAAATGTGAGAAAAAAGACTTTTGGACTTTAAAGTGGTCATTGGGGAATTCCCTGGGCAGCCCAATGGTTACGACTCTGTGCTTCCACTGCAGGGGGTATGGGTTTGATCCCTGGTCGGTGAACTAAGATCCCACATGCTGCACAGCAAAAAAAAAAAAAAAAAAAGTAAAGTGGTCACTGATCATTGATTTTTCACAAGTTTTGGTAAAATGATGGAGTGGAAGCCAGATTTCAGGGAGGCAGAAGAAATGGGGACCAATCAAACTAACACATTTATTGAGCACTTAAAATGTTCATGGCACTGTGCCTGTATACTGTGCCTGTTGTGAGCTTATCACTGCCCTCCAGGAGTATCAAACCAAGTTGAGACAATGAGAAATCCATGAAAGTCTTCATTGCAATAAATTCAGAAGATGTAAGGTGGACCACGATTAATTGCCTAACGTATGATATGGACACTGAATACCCCTGAAGACACTCTGGTTTGGAATTCTCTAAGAAAGCTTCTCTTGTCTGTTTCTGCTTCTCTTAGCCTACCCATCCCCCTTTTATTGAAAGGTTCCGATTTTCCATGAGTTAGGAAACAAAGTTAAGACTGTTTCCTTCAGTAAACATCAGAATGTACTAAGTACAGTCCAGAGAAGTAACGTGTGCAGCACGTTGTGATAATCACATAGGCTCTCTTAGCTAAGGGTGACCTAGCTGCCCCAGAAGCCTCCCACAAAGTGAGCTGTTGTAACAGTGAGAATTAGGGATTATAGAATACATGAGTAGTTAGGGTGAGTCAGCACTCCTGTACTGATGGGAAAGAGTCAAGCAGCTGTTCAGCTGCATGTAGAATAGACAGGCTTCTTCAGTTCATGGCTTTGAGGCCATTTATTGTAGAAAAAGTGGAGCTCATGGGGCTTTTGTTTTCCTCCCACTGAGGTCTGTAGAAATGTTGCATCTCCATTTTCCTCAGTTGCCATCTTACTGTTGGCGGGAGAAGCATTTTCTTCTTCCCTGTTAGTCATTAAGGGTAACGTAATGTAGGTTAAATGTAAAAAGAAACGTAGGCTCGGGGCTGGACTATTAGAAAGACTGATGGCACCTCCATGAGGCTGGTACAGTGTATCATTTCTTCTTCACGAGTGTTATACTGACTTGGGGTGCTTTGGGTTTTTAAGAGGAGCATAAGTAGCCTCTGTTAAATCCTGCCACTAGATAAAACTGGTCCCAAAGCAGGCAGTTCTCAGTCTTCTGAATAGGACCTTGCTTGCTTGCCAGTTCGATGCAGTGCTTCCCTCTCAGAGTCACACCATTATCCTTGAGCCTCATCTTACTTGTGTAGACATTTCCCCAGAGCCACACAGCTAAGTTAGGGGTCACACCCAGCCAGGTTTTCTGAACTGTGCAGCTTGAGCACTATGCTTCAAGAATTGCACCAGGGGCTTCCCTGGTGGCGCAGTGGTTGAGAGTCCACCTGCCGATGCAGGGGACATGGGTTCGTGCCCCGGTCCGGGAAGATCCCACATGCCGCGGAGCGGCTGGGCCCATGAGCCATGGCCACTGAGGCTGTGCGTCCGGAGCCTGTGCTCCGCAACAGGAGAGGCCACACAGTGAGAGGCCCGCGTACCGCAAAAAAAAAAAAAAAAAAAAAAAAAGAATTGCACCAGAATGCTGTCAGAAGTCAGGAGACTTTAGTTTTAGAGCTGACATTAACTAACACTGTGATAATGTATAGTTTCCCCCTCCATGGGCCTCAGTTTCCCCAATTTCTCTGGTTTAGGTGATTTGTCAGAATGATCCAGCTCTGAAATTTTAGGATATATCTTTATTTCTGCACAGATTCAGCCTGGTAATTCCAAGGTTGGCCTAGTAGCATACTTTTCCCTAGTTGAGGCAAATATGGTCCAGCACATTTTCTTTTGACGACATTACTTCAGAGAGAAGTGGCTTGTTTGTAAATGGAATAATATAAGTAATGGTGAAAATTGCTTGAGATTAGAGAATCAGGGCAGTGAGGTGTACTGAAAGAACACTGAACTGAAGGCTCAGACATCTGGGGTCTTGTCCCAGTATTGACATTAAATCATTCTGGGACCTTGGACAGTCACTTGATCTATTCTGGGCCTTAGTTTTCCCATTTATAAAATCAAAACATTGAACTGACATCTCTAGTTCCCAGCTGTGCAGTTCCAGGATCAGTTCCCAGAGTAATTATCTGTTGCTGTTGAACTTCCTGGAGTCCAGACAGATCACAGTGATGTTTATGTTCCTTGCCTAGGAGTATTTACCACTAACTGGCCGGATTGTCTGCTGTTTCTAAGCAGAGCACAGGCCGTGACTTCTGACCAAGAAAAACGATTGCTGCATCAGCTCCGAGAAATCACCAGGGTCATGAAAGAAGGAAAATTCATTGACAGACCCACTCCAGAGAAGGAAGCTGAGGAGGCCCCTTACATGGAGGACTGGGAAGGTAAACAGCGTCTTCTTATCTCTTTGTTAACCATCAGCCCAGAAAAGAGATCTTACAAAATTTTTAAAAGTCAGCTTTATTACTGAGGTGTAATGTAGATACAATACAGTTCACCAATTTTAAGTGTGTAGTTGGATAAGTTTTGACAAATGTGTAGAGTTATATAATCATACCATAGCGATGATTTAGTCACGATATTTCCATCATCTCAGAAAGTTCCCACCCACTTTGCTGCTAATCCCCTCCTGTTCTGGCAACAGCTGAACTGCTTTCTGTCCCTAGAGTTTTACCTTTTCTATATAAATGGATCATACTGCACATGCTCTTTCGTTTCTGGCTTTGTTGATTTAGTATAACGTTTTTGAGCTTCATGTGTTGAGTGTATTAGTAGTTCTCGCTCTCTTTTAATTGCTGAGTAGTGTTCTGTTGTCTGGATATACTTTGTTTCTCCATTCACCAGTTCAGGAACATTTGGGTGCCAGCTTTGAGCTATTATGAAGCAATCTACTATGAACTTTTGTGTACGTGTTTTTGTTGGAACATATATTTGTGTATATATCTAGGAATGATGTTTTGGCGTTTTATACATGTATGTTCAACTTTGTTAGAAACTGTCAATCTGCTTTCCAAAGTGGCTCTGCCATTTTGCCTTCCCACTTGAAATGTATGAGAATTGCAGTCCTCCACATCCTTGGTAACACTTGGTATCGTCAGTCGGTTTTTTTTTTTCGGTACGCAGGCCTCTCACCGTTGTGGCCTCTCCCGTTGCGGAGCACAGGCTCCGGACGCACAGGCTTAGCAGCCATGGCTCACGGGCCCAGCCGCTCCGCGGCACGTGGGATCTTCCTGGACCGGGGCACGAACCCATGTCCCCTGCATCGGCAGCTGGACTCTCAACCACTGTGCCACCAGGGAAGCCCCGTCAGTCTTTTTAATTTTAGCTATTCAAGTGAGTGTATAATGGTATCTAGCTTGTAACTTTAGTATGCATTTCCCCAATGACTAATGACGTTGAACATTTTTTCACACACTTATTTGCCATCTGTATATCTTTGGTGAAGTGTTTGTTCACATTGTTTGCCACTTTCTTTATTGAGTTGGTTGTGTTCTAGTTGCAAGGGTTCCTTCTATAGTCTGGATATAAGTTGTCAGTTATGAATTTTGCAAGTCTTTTCTCCTAATCTGTGGCTTGCCTTTTTATTTTCTTAGTGACATCTTTTCAAAGAACAGAAGTTTTTTTCATTTTGGTGAAGCCCAGTTTATCATTTTCTCTTTTGTGACTCACTTTCTTTGTGTGCGTTTAAGAAATCTTTGCCTAACTCAAAGCTTGCCTTACTCCTCTGTTTTCTTCTAGAAATTGTATGGTTTTAGCTCTTACATTTAGGCCTGTGATCTATTTTTAGTTATTTATATATGGTGTGAGGTATCAGGACTGAGGTTAATATTTTTCCATATTGATATCCTATTGTTCCAGTTTATTTTGTCACATTTAATTACCTTGGTGTGTTGGTTGGAAATAACCAACCCTTCCCCTTTTGGAAAATGGAAAATCATTTGACCATGTATGTGTGGGTGTATTCTGGACTTACTGTTCTTTTTTTTAATATATAGATTAATTAATTAATTAATTTGATTTATTTTTGGCTGCATTGGGTCTTCGTTGCTGCGTGCGGGCTTTTCTCTAGTGGCGGCAAGTGTCGTGGTGAGGGGGCTTTTCACTGCGGTGGCTTCCCCTGTTGCGGAGTGTGGGCTCTAGGCACGCAGGCTTCAGTAGTTGTGGCACACGGGCTCAGTAGTTATGGCTCATGGGCTCTAGAGTGCAGGCTCAGCAGTTGCGGCGCATGGGCTTAGTTGCTCCACAGCATGTGGGATCTTCCCGGGCCAGGGCTCGAACCCATGTCCCCTGCATTGGCAGGGGTATTCTTAACCACTGCGCCACCAGGGAAGCCCCTGGACTTACTATTCTGTTTCACTGATCTATGTGTCTGTACTTAACACCAGTGCCGTAATGTCTTTATCACTGTGTCTTTATATTGTCTTGAAGTCAGGTAGCCCAAGTTCTTCAACTATGTTTTTTTCCAAAATTATTTTGGTAATTCTAGGCACTTCACATTTTCATATAAATTTAGAATCAGTGTGCCACTTTCTACAAAAAAGAAGCCTGATGGGATTTTAATTGGCATTATATTGAATCTTTAGGTCAAGAAGTTGGATTCACTCTTATGTTGCTGGTGGGGATGTAAAATGTACCCACACTGGAAAAAAGTTTGGCAGTTTCTTAAAAAACGAAATATGTAGCTACTACACAGCCTTGCAGTTGTACTTCTGGACATTTATCCCAGGGAAGTGGAAAGTTTTATGTTCAGATAAAACTTGTACGTAAATATTTATAGCAGCCTTATTTGTCATAGCCCCAAACTGGAAACAACCCAAACGTCCTTCAACAGGTGAAGCTGAAGTTAAACACGGTGTTGGTACGTACGCACTGTGAAGCACTACTCAGCAGTAAAAATGATGGACCGTTGATACATGCAGCAACTTGCATGGATTTCCAGATGATTATGCTGAAGGAAAAAAGCAAATTCCAAAAGGCTATGTAATGTGTTTCTATTTATCTAACATTCTTGAAATGGCAAAATGATAGAAATGGAGAACAAACTAGCAGTTGCCAGAGGTTAAGAAGGGAGTGGGAGCAGGAGGGAATGGGCGTGGCCAGAAAAGGGCGACACACGGGATCCTTGTGGTGAAGAAAACCTCTGTATATTGACTGTATCAGTATTAATATCCTCGTTGTGATATTGTAGCATATAGTTTTGCAAGGTGTTACCATTAGAAGAAACTAGGTAAAGGGTACATGGGATTTCTGTATTATTTCTTATAACCAGATGTGAATCTACGATTAACACAAAATAAAAAATTAGTTTAGAAAAACAATGCAAGAAATTATAAGGGAAAGGATAGTGTTTTACATAGTGTACATAAACCTTTTCTGTAGATCAGAGAATGTCAAAAAGTTTTCAAAGCCAGCACTAAACTGGAAAAAGATTTGTAACAAATATGACTGATATCAGCAAAGAAGCTGATACCTTTAATATACAAAAAGTTCTACAACTAATTTAATCTGCCTAGATATGCAGTGCACAAAAGAAAACAGTGCAACTGGCTATAAAACAGAAGAAAAATTATTCCATTCTCACCAGTAATCAATGAAATGAAAATTGGAATTCCTTTTTTTCTTGCAAATTGCAAATCTTCATCATATAACCTTGTTCCCAAATAAGGTAAAGTTTTTATCATATTTATTTTCTACCTACTGCTTAGGTTTTGTTGAAATTATGTAGAATTTTAGCTACAAGTGATGTTAGCTTTTACAGCCTTTTCTCTTTTAAGTATTTCTTAACAATGGCATTAAATTTCTAACCACATTATCAATGATTATTTTACATTGATAATTCTTGATTTCATTTTTTACCACTTGTATACAGTATCTCCTTTCTTGATTTTAAATTTTTGATTAATTTTTGTATCTGTCAGAATACTTCCTTAAGTCCCTCCCCCATCCCTCCCCCCGCCAAATTTGAATTTGTACAGGTTCATCAGCATATGTCTCCGTATGGATTTTTCAAGGTATTTTTACCTAGCATTTATCCATCTGAAGACTTGAGTTATTTTTTCAACTAAAGAATATTTTCTTGTAATTCTGATTATTGCTTCCATTTAACCTACTGTGCCCTCTCATTGTAGAATTCTAGTAATTCTGAGATTCGATCTTGGATGGGTCTTCTGTGCAGCTTATCTTTTTTCTCACGATTTCCGTTTCTTTGCCGTATTTATCTTTGTCCTGGGAGAATTCCTCACCTTGAACTTCTAATATATTAATTTGGTTCTCAGTCATGTTTATTTCAACCTACTCTTTTCTTCCTCTATTAAGTTAAAAAATTTTTTTTGTAATGATGAGTTTCTCACAGCTCTCTACTACATTGTGTTTGCTCCCTTTTTTATATTGAAGCCTGGTTGGTTTCATACATTCAATAACCTGTTGAATATTACTGGGAACGTCAATTATAAGCTGATTGACATTAACTCTTGTTTCCTGCATTGACTTTTTTCAGGGGCTATTTACGTAGTTTGCTTAGTTTGGTTCCTGTTGTGAGCTGCTGATTTTCCCCCCCTCCTAGGACCAGTGAGTTTTTGTTGCTTGCTCATGTTTCTAATGAAGTCTTGGGTAACCAGTGCCTTGGCTGATACGGGCTACCTAAGTAGTTACGTGAGTCACTATTTGATTCTCCTCAGCAGGCTTCCCCCTCGTAAACTAAAGCAGATAGTCATGGAATTCCAACGGCAAGCTTTGTTCCTGGTGGGGACGAGGCAGGAACATGCCAGAGGATGGGCTTCTCTTAGGCATGCAGTGGCTAGGAGCTAACTAGCAAATGGACTTCCCCAGCCTCTGCCCTTGACCAAGGAGACTGTGAGGGCTTTGGGTAGCGAAGCTCCAGTTTATCTATAAGCCTGGGAACTGAGACTGCATTGGCAAGATTCTTGACATACTACTGTTAGCGCTGGTGAGGATGTGATAAGCTGGACAGTTTTTTACATCACTGGTAGGACTAAAAATTTATACCATTCTTCTGGAAAGTAATTTGGCAGAGTGTAAAAAAGTCTTTTAAAATGTCCATTCCCTTTGGTCTAGTTTTCATATTTCTAAAAGTCTATCTTAAAGAAATAGGGAAGTGGACATAGATTTATATTCAGGGATCTTAACTAATATGAAACTTATAATGGAAAATTGGAAAGAATCTAAATGTCTTATGGAGGAGGCATGGTAAATCACGTCAGTTACGTAGCTGTATGATGGGATACTTGGCAGCCAACTTTAAAATGCCTAATAACATGGAGAAGGGCTCATGATACAATGTTGAATGAAAAAAATCTGGGTACAACGTTTTATATACAGTATGATCCCTCTTTGTTAAAAAAAGAGAAAGATATATGTTTATATGTGATAAAAAGGCCAGAGGTAACACAACACATAGTTATCAGTGGTGGGATTCTAGGTGATTTGTGTTTTCTTTTTAAAACTTGTCTGTGTTTTTCAAATTTTCTACAAATGAGTCTGTGTGACTGTTTTTTTCCCCTAATTATAAATGTTGTAAAAATGTCTCTCCACACTCTACATGGCACCAAAAAAGACCTCTGCTTTTCAGAATTTGTAGGCAAAACGATGGTTTATGTTAGGGTTCAATTTGCCAATTATCATAATGTGCAAATGGATTTCAAATTCTCCAGCTTTCACGTTGTGCGCTGAGCATGGCTGCTGTTGCCAGCACTGGCATATGAGCTCCAGCACGGCCCATCTGCTGCTCAGGCTCGGCTTGGCGGACACAGATGTATTTCATTTTGTTCTTCAATTTGGCAACATTTTCTCTTTTCTCATTATCATTGCTGGGATTCATTTTGTTTACCAGTTTGTTGTTTTCTTTTGTTCCCTTTTGTGAAGAGGAAGAAGCCAACAGTGGAAATTCTGTCTTCTGAAAATGCAGTCCTTGTCCTTGGGGATCTTGGGCATGTATTGCTAAAATGCTCTCTCTTTTCTGACACTTGCAAGCCATTTCAATTGTTTTGATTAGTAGAAGGCTTTGTCCTGTATTTTTCAAAGAGCTCAGCATTACTTTCCTCCTCCCTCCTCCCCCCGCCACCCCCGGGAAGATTTGGAAATGGTTCCAAATAGAAATTATAAACATTAGCCTTGAGCTATGCTCTCTCCATCTGGTGTTTGGTACATTTTTTTAAAACTGAGGCTCATGTTGTTTGTTTAATCTTCATCACTACTGCAGAAGCTTGAGGAGTGAGACTTACACTCTGCCCCAAGCACCCTGCACTTAAGAAGGGATTTTCAACTGAATTGATTTGTATTTCAAAGAGCTGGGGGACAGTCAGCCAGATCGCCAAAAAATTTGCTCAAGTGAAACTTGAGAACCGTTAGAGTCTTCTTAGAGATTTCTTGAATGGATTTGTTGGGATAGGATGGCTGCTGCTTGAGAAGCCTTTCTGAGCCTGACACTTTATTTGGAAGAGACATTCTTTGTAAGACTTTGTACTGCTTTTTTCTCTAGGTTACCCTGAAGAGACCTATCCAATTTATGACCTTTCAGATTGCATCAAGCGTAGGCAAGAAACAATCCTGGTGGACTACCCTGACCCAAAAGAGCCCTCTGCCGAGGAACTAGCTGAAAGAATGGGAGTGATAGAAGGAGGATCAGGCCATTTGGGGTGGGAAATGCCTACTGACCCCAGAGCTCAGGAAGATAATTCTGTTACCTCATGTGACCCAGAGGCAGAAACATGTTCCTGCTGTTTTCACGAAGAGGAGGATCCTGCTGTCTTGGCAGAGAATGCTGGATTTGGTGCAGACAGTTACCGTGAGCAAGAGGAGACCACCGAAGAAATGTGGCCCCGCGACTCGAGAGATGAAGGGCCAGGCGTCAGTGCTGATAAAGCAGATCCAGGGGGCATGCTGAGGAAGCGGGACCCCCACCGTTTAGAGTACAGACAGCCAGTTTGGTGAGGTGCCCATTACTCTAGTCCCAAGGTGACCTTTCTCTCCTCTCTGATTTCATCCTTGGCCCTGTGCCCTGTATTTCATTCTCTGTGTTCAAATATCATAGACAATCAGGCCACTGCCATGGATATCATGTGTCCTTCCTGGTGCTTACACACCTGTCACCTGTAAAACATCACAGTAATCAGTATGAACACAAGACAGCTTCCCTCTTTCTCTTCCTGCCTTTCCTCCATCAGAGAGTTGATCCACTGAGTAATTTTCTATCTACTGTAATTACAGATGGGACCACTCAGGGCAGAGGTCTGACTCTTTGTGTTAGGAGTAACAGATGGTTTACCTGTGAACAAACATCAGATTATACATGATGAGGACTTAAGGTTGTAAGAGTGAAGATTTCAGAGTCCAAAATACCTTATTCTGTGGGCCTTGAGCAGGTTAGTAGTCCGCTGAGCTCAAGAAGAAAACCTTCTGTTAGTGGGGATGGTGGGGCCAGAGCAGGGTAAGACTGCTGTCTGAACTGAAGCCCCTTTCTCACAGCAAGGCCCTTTTTAGGGGCACCCAGGCTGCCTCAGATCTCCACTTTTCTCCAGAGTAGAAGACTCCCACTGACCTGAGAATGAACCTAGAGGCTTATTGGGGGATGGTTTTGCTCTACTATTGCCTGGATCTCTAGCTTCCTTTATCCCTGTTTTGCTTAACAGAACTGCCAAATGCATAAGTACCTTTGTACCTCTGGTCTTCAGTGGCCAGAGGAAACTTGAGTTAGAGACTTTAGTCCTTGCCCAGCAGAGCCAAGGTTTGAGGCTTCAGGAAAGCCTGCCGAAGGGTGGTGGTCCTGCCGTGAAATGCTCAGAAGGCCAGGGAGCCAGTGATGGGGAGAGAACCCATGCGCTTACAGGCAGTCCTTGCTTAGATGCTGTTTCTGAATGTTGTACCCTCTGGGAAGTTTGTTCTCACAACAAATTCAATTGAAACAGAAACGAGGAGGACCGAGCTTATAGACCAAGTGCCAGCCCAGCAGGGAAGTTGCAGGGACCCAATGTAGCAGTGCCCGGGAAAAGACCATTTGTTCCATATTTGGATATCTGAGTCTGTTGAGAAAGCTGGGCAAAGTAGGAGGTAGGTTAGGACTGGGAGGATTGTGACCAAACCAAAAGCCTATCTCTGAGCTGCCATCTGTCATGTGTCTCCTTGAGGTAAGATGTATTCTGTCTAGTAAGGATGAGTGAATTCAGTTTACAGGTAAGACCTAAGAGTTTAAAGAGGACACATTCCTGAGGATATTCCCAGTCATGAAATGCAGAAGACTTGAAAATTAAGAAATCATGTAAAGGTAGACTTGGCTTTTAGAATTCCGTTGTGCCTGGCATGAGCAAGAGGCCAGGAAAATAGTTTAATCACTCTTAAATCACATAAGCATACACACTGCTGTCACAGGTACAGGATCATATTAAGGTAATGTATCAGCTACTGCTGTGAATTTCTTGTTAGTTAATGACTACAGAGAAAAGTCACTGAAGACTGAGTCTATAGAAAGCATATTGTCTCTATCTCTGTGTGGAACATTTGATTCACTTGTAAAGAATACAGTTTAAAATGTACTGAAAACAGTCTAGATGTAATGAAATGCTGAAGGTAAAAAATAATGTAGGTGCTCTTTACTGTTTCGATAAATTCTTTTTCGTGTTGTTTCTCTTCATTCACAATGAGGGGTTGATTTATGAGAAGAGTTCTGGGAGCCTGTTTCGAGTTTCTTTTTTGCCTTAGGATATGATTCCCTTATTAGAGGTATGTATTTGTTTCCTTCTGGCTTATTCACTCATTTATTCATTCAGTAGACACTGCTCAGAGCTAGGCAGTGGGAACAGAAGGCTCAATTCCTACCTTTAAAAAAAACTCAGTTGAATGTGGGAGCGTTATCCAATTTATTTTTAAAAATGAACTGTGAACTATAAAAGGGCTCAAGATCGTGAATTCTGCAGGCAGAGAAATGTTGGTCACAATTCCAGCCCTGTCTATTCTAGTTGTAGAATCTAGCCAGTTCCTTAACCCCAAGAACCTTGGCTTTCTCATTCTAAAGCTGGCAGGTCAAAGTCCAGGTCTCACAGGGTAGTTATGAGGATTAAATGAAATCATCAGTGCCTATAAAACAGCACTATCCTATCTCATACAGGATAACCACTCAATAAGCGGTAGCCACTTTACTTTTATTGTACAAGGTTTTATGCTGTATTTGAGATAACGGACCCAAATCTATAGGAGCACAAAAAAAGATCATTTTTGCTAAAGTAGTTCAAGAAACTTCACAGAGGAGGTGGGTCTTGAGGGATGCTAAGAACTCCAGCTGTGCAAGGAAGAGAAAGGACATCCTTGGCAGAAAGAGTGGTGTTAGAGCAGTGGGGTGTGAAAGTAAAAGGATGATGTTCAGGTATTTTGATGAGGCTGGTATGTAAGGTGTCACATAACCAACTCTTTTTTGGAATGTTAATCTTTGGGGGAAATTGGCTTATGGAAATAGTTCCTGCTGGAAGTACTAAGACCTCATGAGAGCTCTTGCTGCCCTGGTTCTTGGTGGGTTTGTATAGCAGGAATATATTTATGAATTTATATTTCAAAAATTTTAATGTACTTTTCAATAATTTCAGATTAGGCAATCCTTTTTGGATTTTTCAGAATTATGTTATCCTTCAGGGATGACAATTATATTTGTATATACAATCCAGGATGACCAAAATCATGGGACTGGTTTTTGTTGTCATGCCTGCTGTCTCTTTCCTCCTGGTCTTCATTTCTCCAGAACTGATCTGGGCTGAGTCCCCTGGCACTAGGTCTGCAGTGACTTTTAGGCACCGTGGCAGAGCACAGTCATACCTCTGGGGGCAGATAGTTGGCCCAGGAAACAACTGCATCACCTGGGACCATGCGTGGTAAATCAGGTGGGTGATCCGCCGGCCAGGAGATCCGATCCCCTTTCCTGGTCAGAATAAGAGCACAAGGAGAGTACCTCCTTAGTTCCAGGACTAGTGCTATGTGAGCTCAGGAGCCAGGCCCAGAGAGCTGCATAGAGGAGTGCAGGCACGTTTGGCCTCTAGAAGAGATGGCTTGTGAGGACCCCACTCTCTGCACCCTCTGTGGCCTGGATGATCCAATGACTTATGGTCCAATCTGGGACACTTTGGGAAAAGGGAGCTTTAATTATGCCAGGAGAATAGCTGTAAACTAGGACTCTCCATGGACCCTGTCCAGGGCTATTTACGAGATTTGTCTTTAACCTGACCACTAAACAACGAAAATCTCTTTCCTTTCTAGTAGTGTCCTGCAAATGTTATTTCCCAGAGGCAGAGCCAAGGAGAGAGGCCACAGTTCAGGTAGGAAATGCTGTTGACCACACTAAAAACTCCAAATCTGGGGTAATAAATAAACCAGCCCTACTTATTACCACACTCTTAGATTCCCTCAACCCAGGCTATTTATATACCAAAGGAAAGTCTAATACTTGAGCTACCAGCAATGAGAAAACCGGGAAGCATCCACAGACTTCGCCTTGACCATTTTCACACAAGTGTTTCCAAGATGTACCCCCAACCTTGTTTTTCCTTTCCCATTTTCTTATACAAAGTAAATAGGCCACATTTCTCCTTTTTCTCAATTACTCCTTAACTTCTCTAAGCACCAATTTCCTCATTTATGCATTGGGAATAATACCCGCCTCGCAATGCTGTGTGTAGTGTCTGTCCAGGGTGTAGCCTGTGCTAGGTGCTCACGCCAGTGCCATCAACAGCATCACACTGTGTCATCAAGTCCTGTGCTGCTGGGCTGTCGCCCTTGACACCCTCCCAGGCTACCCTGACTGCTGGGAACGGCCCAGAGCACAGGTCCTGCAATCTCTGGGTGACTTCAGTTTTGACCTCCTCCCTCAGGATCAGACGCGTAGCCTTCATGTCTGCTTCCAGCCACAACTGTGGCTTCAGACCTGCCACAAGCCGAAAAGAAAATTCCCAAGTGTGTAGTGTGTCCAAGTCCTGTTCAAACAGGTTAGGCTGCTCTGCATAGGGCTAGAGGAACCCAGTGGCTGGGTCTTCATGTTATTTCTACCACTTGGGCCTCTCTCACCTTTTTTCAGCTCTATGGCCCTGTTTTTGTTCGTACGGGCCAGGCCCACAGGGGTTTACTTAGGAAGCAGCAGCCCATTCTTCCAGCTGGCACAGCTGACCCTGCAGAGGATGCTCTAACTTAAGTACCTTTCTGTCCTTACCGTTCTTCTAGCCCATCCAGCCTCTGCGTGTGTGGTTCTGACCATCCTTAAACTTGACGAGCACGGCCAGGGGGAAGACAGTTTCCACCCATATGTGATGGTTTCTAAACAAGCTATGATCCCCTTGTTACCAGCACCTCTTGCCCACCCCTGAGGCTCTTAGGACAGAAGGAATGAATGATGTAGAAAAACACTTTTAGGTAAGAAACGTCTTTTTTTTATAGGGGGGAAAAAAGTACACAGCAGTGTTGAAACAGGTCAAGTTTAATTTGTTGATATAGGGTTTGTGGTCTGTACTTAGACAAACACTAAGTTCTACAACATACATAATGTCAACATGAGAAAATACCAACTTTGTCATTGCACATACCAATAAATAAATACATTTGCTCCAGAATACCAAAGAGTTTATTCAAAAAGTCACTTAATAAAAGCACAGTTTTGCAAGTTTGTCTAAAACTTGATGATTTTGAACAAAAATAAAATGTCTGACCACTCCAAAATAGGAAAAGACAATCTTGTGCAAATAGACCTACACATTCTAGGCATTATGAAAACTGGCTAAATGTATGCTCCCAACAAGAGAAGTGTCACCATCCTACGTCCCCTTAGTCACCAAATGCAGGATTAAAGAGGCCAGAGTCGGGCTTCCCTTTCTAAGCCACTCTGTTACTCTCTAGGAAATTCTGGATCTCAGCCTCATCTCCAGCTCTGCCTGGACCTTGATAGCGAAGGAGGGAGGGACAACAGAAGAGAAGAGGAAAAGGGTGTGACGTCTTTCTTAGGAAAGAAAAAGGCACGGTGATGAGCTAGAAAGTGATGAAAGCAAGGGTCAGCTTTCATTCACCCTGAATCCTACTGCAAGCTGTTGACAGTCCAGCCTCCTTATTTCGTAGGTGAGAAAACAGACCTAGAGAAATCACGTGGTTTGCTCAAAATCTCATGGTTACTAAGTGCAGTAGTGCTTTCTGTAAGACCAACTTGCCTCTCAGCATGGTTGGAAAAACCAAACCCGTCCCAAATACTTCTGCTGTACCTTTCCCCCCATATCCTGAGATGACTGACAGAAAATTACAAACAGGAGGTATGGAAGGACAGGTGACCACTAAACTCAAACCTCAAACAAGAGCCCAGCCTTGGGCCTGTTCCTGGGGCTGCCTGCTAAAGTTCTACAAGCCAGGGCCCAGGGCAGTGCAGGGTCCCAACGCTGAGCCCTGTGCAGGGGAGTCAGGCCCCACTCAGTGCTGGGCACCAGAAGAAAGCAAACTCAAACTCATTCGGCTATCTGGAAAAACGTGCTCTGAGGGCCACCTGGCATCCTGAGGTCACAGGGGTATCTCAGCTGGGATGAAGAATTGTAGAGAGGGACAGGCCGGTGTTAACCGCAGGTAAGGGAAAGCCAGGGACTCCATCTAGGAGATGGAATTTGTGCTTGCATAGCAAAGCCGTGGGCACAGCCAGCCCAGCCTCTCCCCTCACTGTAAGGAAAGCACAAGCATCTTAGTTTGAAGTCATCACTGTGGCTTGTTGAATTCAGAACTGCGTGTAAAACCTATATGGTAAATTCATTTAGAAGTCAACGCCCCACCATTTCCAGAGCAGAGAACCACGTCTGCTTGTACAATTTTGTTGCCCTTGTCACGGAAGGAGGTGTTGGGCCCCGAATGTTTTCTAGCCTGTGATTATCACACTCCCTGGCTTTTAACACCTATCCTCAGCATGGGGCTGGACCTTACATGCTCGTTCTGAATTACTGTCATGATTTTTAAGGCACATTCAACTAGATCAACTAGAATAAGTTCACATTCATCCGCAACACGCCAATTTCTTCAGGTAATGCAAAGTGGGAACTGAAGAACTAAACTTTTGGGGATGGTGTCTTCCCAGTCAGAACCTTGGGAGAAAGAGTTGGTACTTTCCCAAGTATACTTTGATCAAAGAGCATGAAATGAACAAAATCCACCGGTGATCATAACTACATCCTTATTCCCTTCCTATTCATCTGCAGAAATATGCTTGTAATAGGAAACCTCAATTGATTGTTCAGATTGCCCTTTGCCCCAAATACACACAGAGACACACAGACAGACACAGAGCACCTTGGAGCCAGAAGGAAAGAAAAGCCAGAAATGGGGAAGAGTTAATTAAGGACGTGAACTTCACTGCTCTGTAGAACTGTTTGGGGGTAGAGGGCATAGAGTTTTGGGGTGTGGCCCCAGGAGGAGTGAGTTAGAGCTAGGAGCAGTTACAGAGGAGCTGCCTAAGGTCCCAGCTACCCAACACCCTTAGGGACTGCTCATTCCATCACCAAGTTCCCTGCCCAACCAAGGACCATCTGGTTAGAGGGTATGAAGGGCAAGAACTCTTCCTGTGGAAGAGGCTGGCTAAGCCCAGGTGGCCTCCAGGGGCCCTGGCAGCTTTATGAGTCTCTGGGCCCATGGCTGTGAGGCCAGTGGTCAAGGAAAAGCAGCATCACCAGGAATGGGGTCTTAAGAACAGGCCTCCTTGCGAGGGACTCGAGTGCTCTTGCTGGTCACTCAGTGCCCATCAGAGGCTTTTGTTGCTGAGCTACCCCTGTCCATGCCCAGGCTGGAACGCTCAGGCCACATTCCTGACCCTACCAAAACACCTTTCAACCCCCTCCCCTGTGTACGAGAGGACAAAGCAGGGGACTAGTTTTGCACTGTGCTTCTGATGAATTTTCCACTCTGCCCCAGGATCCCCTCTCACGAGGATCCAGAATCAACCTGTTCTACCTTAAAATCACTGACCCAGAGAAACAGCGTTGCTTAGACTTTAGAGGTCATCTGCTTTCCATCATTCTCAATGTCAGCAGGTCTCTCTTTTCAAAGTCAAGAAAGGAAGAGCCAAACCGGGACTATGGAAAGGAGGACGGCGCGACAGTATTTCATTGGCAAGTGGACCAGCTCAGTATAGAAAGTTCTAGTGCCCTAAAGATGGCCCCAAGTCAAGAGCTGTCTAGAAACTAGACCATGTTAACAAAACCTGGATCATTGGAGGGGCCTCTCAGAGAGACATAGGCCCCAGGTGTGGGCAGATCCCTGCTAGAACAAGAACGCCTTGCTTTAAGCACTCAACGTGGGAAAACCCAGATTACCAGGAAATGAGAGCGCACTACTCCCACTGGAGTCAAAACAGCTTCACCTCAGAGCCTTGCTAACATGTTTAAAGTATGATGTTTAACTTTTTAAAAAACCAACTTCTATGTAGTCTTTCCAAGCACATCTACTCTGAAGTGGGGAACAACTCTTGCTTGCTTCCCACTGATTTCTGATCTCCATCTGGGTGAGTAGCCTCTGTCAGGGTAAATGACAAATATGCAAGACTTTCCAAGTCTTCAGAGTAGATGGTGCCATCCAAGGAGGAGGGCAGCAAAGGGAGAGATCAGGCACAGCCCTGAACACTCACAACCCATCTGTCGCACCTAGATAGCAAAATGGGCAGCAACCTTGCTAAGTAAGGCCTGCCCTCGGGGAGGAGCCAGGCACAGGCCAGTCACTATCAGACGGACATACAAAAATCCAGACAGCTTTCAGCAGGGAACTGCCCAATTTCCCACTGAAATGGTTTCAATTTCACCACCTCTCAACATCTCTAAGTCTCTGGAATCAGGTGCACGGGCATGTGGACTGTGCCCTAGGAAGGTCAGAGAGAGCAGTTTCTTGGGGGATGGTGGAAACAAGGAAATCAAGGGAGCTGAAACTCCGAACTCTGCCCCTAACCAGCCAGGTGACCCAGAGCAAGTCCTATTTTCTAGATGATCTCTCAGGGTCCTGCCACCTCTGATCTTTTGTGGTTCTAAAACATTTCCTGCTCTCCTTACCCTGTCCCATTCCCACCTAAGAACCACCACATACAATCCCTCAGCAACCACAGCCCAGGCTGACTGCAGTGGGAGCTGAAGCACAGGCAGGAGCTCCAGGCACGCCTACCTGTGTGCAGTCTGGGGCTGGCGTCCTGGGGTTCATAGGGTTTGTGCAGGGACTGCTCAGCAGGGAGCTCCAGAACAGCCCTGTCCCATGCGGCGCCTGTATGCTGAGCCTGCACAGGCCCCATCCTCTATAAGAGATCTGACCTTGGGGGCTGGCCTCCTGCCGCCTCTGTGCACACAGAGAAATCACATGAGCTCAAACCCTAGGCCACCAGCCAATTCCCACAGCCACAGCCGGGCCCCTGCAACCCTGGCAAGGTCCTGCCACTCACCTTTCCCCATGCCCATAACTCTTCCCAGGCCCAGCTGAGGCCTTCTGAAGCTGGAGGACTTTCTGTAGTTGTAAGGGCCAGGCTCGGCTACCCAGCCCTCTGCTCTGTAAAGTAGGTGTGCCCTAACACTTACACTAACACACACTCACTGTGCCCCTCACAGTTGGGCTGAGTGCCTGGCTGGGCCCCAGCAGCCCTGCACTGTGCTTCCTCTCCCTCTACACCTTCCTGCCTCCCTGGCCGAAGAGGCTGCTCAGCTTGGCAAACACGACTGCAGCAGCACACTAACCCAAGGGTGGGGGGGTGTTGATCTTGGGGCACAAAGAATTCACGCTGGTCCCTTCATATCCCCCCACTCCTCTGCCTCAGCAGTGGAGGCGCAGGAGCCAGTTCCTGGATGGCTGGGCCCAGGAGCCCACTGAGAGCCAAAGGGTCACCTGGCACGAGGCCTATGTACAGGGGTCAGCAGGGCTGTCTCCGCAGGCAGGCAGCTCCACTCCAGGCTGGGCAACCCCAGAGGGCACGAGGTGGCCTCTACTCGCAGGCCAGCTTGCTGTCGAAGCTGGACAGGGCAATGGCAAAGGCCTGCAGCGCACACAATGGGTAGTTGTAATCCATGGTGAACACGTCCTCTGCTACACGGCCAAACTGCATCACAATGTAGTCCGCTGGAGCCAGGCACAAGTGTGGACAGAGACAGAAGGGCAGAGCAGGGATGGCGGAGATGGGGAAGGACAGACACCCAAATCACAAGAGGGAAGAGAAAGCGAGAAGCAGAGAAGCCAAGAGAATCCCAAAGGAGGTAAAATAGAGCAATTGGGAGAAGTGGCAGGAGAGATGGAACAGGGGGCAAAGGAGAAAGATGCATACAAACACCAGGAGACAGGGAAGAAGAGAGGAAGTCCGTTCACAGGGTGTTCCCGTGCCTGAGACTCTGCTGCGTGCACAGAATCTAGGGCCAGGGCCCCAGAGAAGGTTCCTCCAGGGCCTCCCAGTCATTATGGTTAGAAAGTTCTTTACATCTAATCTAAGCCGTATAATCCGTGTCCTTAAACTCTGACCTCTACGGGCAGGGCCAGGTGAGCTGAACCCTGAGCTAAGGGCCCCGGGTATCACGTGGACAGTAATAAGTCAGGGCAGAAACACTCACGGTCATTGCCGTGGATGATCTGGAAGTTCTTCACGGAGGCCTGAGTGACGCGCCCGTGGAAGTTGAGTACGTAGGACTGCGTGTCGTCATTCCAGACAGGCGTCTTGTTCTGCAGCTCGATGATACTCTCCGTGTTCTTATTTTGCCAGCGTGATAGCAGCGTCTCATGCTCCTGGGAGGGCAGCCTCAGCTGAGCCAGGCCCAGGCCTTGGCACCATGACCACCCCAAAGAGGGATCTGCCCCAGGGGTGGGAGTCCTTAGATTTCCCTAGACCTCCAGGGTTTCTCACACTGTGTCTCCTCCACACGTACACACCAGCTGGAGTTCTGCCCTTAGACGCTCATGCAGACGCTGGGATAATGGGGAAGGTGGGTGGGATGGGGTAGAGACTCACGTTGCGGGGCCGGATACAGACTCTCTCGTGAACCATGGTCATGCCTGGGACAACCACACTCATCTTCCGCGGCCCCTTGAAACCTAAAACATTTGTTTCCTAGGAAATAGCGACAGAGAACTCAACACCAGCCATGTGAAGACTCAACTTACCTACTGGAGAGACTGGGGGGAGGGAATAAAGTTGAGCTGAGCTAGCTTCCACCACTCACCTGTCTAACAGGCATCTCTAAACTTACCATGTCCGGAAGTGGGCTCCTGAATCTCCACTCTGCCCAAATGAGCTTCTCTTACAGTCCTCCTGGCTCCACTTAAGAGCACCTCAATTATTCCATCTATTCAAACTACTTGGAGTCATACTTGACTCCCCCCCCTCCTCACACCCCACTTCTCATCCATCAGCAAATGCCGTCGGCTCTTCAAATTATATTCAGAATTCAACCACTTTTCACCACCACCCTCTCTCACCAAGATCACAGTACTGGCCTTTAGCTGGAATCCTTGTTTCCTCACCCCACCCCCACCCCACCCAATGTAGTCCGCTGGAGCCAGGCACAAGTGTGGACAGAGACAGAAGGGCAGAGCAGGGATGGCGGAGATGGGGAAGGACAGACACCCAAATCACAAGAGGGAAGAGAAAGCGAGAAGCAGAGAAGCCAAGAGAATCCCAAAGGAGGTAAAATAGAGCAATTGGGAGAAGTGGCAGGAGAGATGGAACAGGGGGCAAAGGAGAAAGATGCATACAAACACCAGGAGACAGGGAAGAAGAGAGGAAGTCCGTTCACAGGGTGTTCCCGTGCCTGAGACTCTGCTGCGTGCACAGAATCTAGGGCCAGGGCCCCAGAGAAGGTTCCTCCAGGGCCTCCCAGTCATTATGGTTAGAAAGTTCTTTACATCTAATCTAAGCCGTATAATCCGTGTCCTTAAACTCTGACCTCTACGGGCAGGGCCAGGTGAGCTGAACCCTGAGCTAAGGGCCCCGGGTATCACGTGGACAGTAATAAGTCAGGGCAGAAACACTCACGGTCATTGCCGTGGATGATCTGGAAGTTCTTCACGGAGGCCTGAGTGACGCGCCCGTGGAAGTTGAGTACGTAGGACTGCGTGTCGTCATTCCAGACAGGCGTCTTGTTCTGCAGCTCGATGATACTCTCCGTGTTCTTATTTTGCCAGCGTGATAGCAGCGTCTCATGCTCCTGGGAGGGCAGCCTCAGCTGAGCCAGGCCCAGGCCTTGGCACCATGACCACCCCAAAGAGGGATCTGCCCCAGGGGTGGGAGTCCTTAGATTTCCCTAGACCTCCAGGGTTTCTCACACTGTGTCTCCTCCACACGTACACACCAGCTGGAGTTCTGCCCTTAGACGCTCATGCAGACGCTGGGATAATGGGGAAGGTGGGTGGGATGGGGTAGAGACTCACGTTGCGGGGCCGGATACAGACTCTCTCGTGAACCATGGTCATGCCTGGGACAACCACACTCATCTTCCGCGGCCCCTTGAAACCTAAAACATTTGTTTCCTAGGAAATAGCGACAGAGAACTCAACACCAGCCATGTGAAGACTCAACTTACCTACTGGAGAGACTGGGGGGAGGGAATAAAGTTGAGCTGAGCTAGCTTCCACCACTCACCTGTCTAACAGGCATCTCTAAACTTACCATGTCCGGAAGTGGGCTCCTGAATCTCCACTCTGCCCAAATGAGCTTCTCTTACAGTCCTCCTGGCTCCACTTAAGAGCACCTCAATTATTCCATCTATTCAAACTACTTGGAGTCATACTTGACTCCCCCCCCTCCTCACACCCCACTTCTCATCCATCAGCAAATGCCGTCGGCTCTTCAAATTATATTCAGAATTCAACCACTTTTCACCACCACCCTCTCTCACCAAGATCACAGTACTGGCCTTTAGCTGGAATCCTTGTTTCCTCCCCCCTCCCCCACCCCCCCCCCCACCCTCCTCCCTGTCATCTGTTCTCCACACAGCGGTGAGCGGTCCTGGTCAGTCAGATCATTTTCCTCTTCAGTTCACTCAGAGTAAAAGCTGACGGTCTTACCTCGACCTGCAAGGCCTCACGTCATACGGCCCCATTACCCCCCCTCTTCACCACTCCCCTGCATTCTCTGACCTCCTTGCCATTCCCCCTGCATGCCAGGCATCCAGGATTTTTGCACTCGCTGTGTTCTCCCCGACACCTGCACAGCTGGCTCTCACTTCCTTCTGGCCTTTACCTAAGCACTACCTTGGTGGAGCCCTCCCTGCCATCCTTCCTAAAAGGACATTCATAGGCCTCTTCCCTGCTTTATTTTTTCCTTCTTACCATTTATCAGAACATATTTATTTTGCTTATATGACTGTTTTATAGCTTATCTCCCCACTAAGGGTTCACATCCCATAAGGGTCTATAGTCTCTCTGTTCACTACTCTCTCTTCAGGGCCTCCAATAGCACCTGGGGCTCAGTATCTGAAGAGAGTCAGACTGCCTCCCCAAAGCCGACCAGCAGGTGGCACCACTGGATCATACAAAACAGCTATGCATTCCCAGGCTGATGGTACCAGTCCCTCATTCTGAAATGAGATGGAGAAACCCTTTGTGTTTATATTCCAGTTTGGTCATCTGTGAGCTGTGTGACATTGGCAGGTGACTCAACCTCTGATCTTAGGTTTCCTCATCTATACAATCAAGAAGATAGGATGGAGCTCTTAGATTGAATATTCAATGAGAAGATTATGCAAAGGGCCTTACAGTCCATTCAGGACCTGAACACCGGAGGGAGGACTGGAAGGTTGCACCAACAGGAACCCAGGCCTTCTGCCTCCTCCTTTCCAGGAGGCATCCAGGCTGGGCTTCAGAGAGCCAGGCCTAGTCCCCAGAACTCGCCAAGCAGATGGCCAGCTGTGTCCTGTCCCAGGCAGGGGCCACTCCACTGTGCCTCCGTGTCTGCCCGTAAAGGTAGATGGGATAGGCCACAGACAGGTAGCAAGTCCTGAGTGTCACGTCTAACTTGGAGACCAGAGACCCAGGAGCCCACGACTCACGTAGCATACAGCAGCCAGCTCCTGACGTAAGGTTCCACTTTCCAAAGTAGAGGATGATGCCTTCTGAGGGTTGACTCCATTGTCATAAACGGTGAACTTTGTGCCCATGAGGTTGGACCTGAAGGACAGGCACGATCAGTATAGAGTCATGCACCCTGTGCCCCAAGGCATGGAGCAGTTCAGAGGCTGTCCTGTGACGAGCCTGCAAAGTATTCTGGGCTGGGCCAGCAGCGGACCTGGGGGCACAGGCACGCTGCTTACGGAACCCCCATCTTTGAAGGCGCTTCTTGGACAGAAGGCCTCGACTTGCTCTGAGTTTAATCAAAGAGCATCTCGGGTTCAGTTCAGGGAAATCTGAGTTCCACAGAAAGTCTCCCTGGAGGAACAGGAGTGGCTCCCCGCACGGGAGGTGAGCCACCAGAGTGGCATCTGACAAGACTGCAGAGGGGACTCAGCACCCCATGGAGGGTGGAGATGTTCTACTCTGTCCCATTCAGCCTGTGAGCTTTGGTCCGGCCCCATCTCCAGCTTTAGCTCCTGACTGCTAAGCTTGATTTATGCTCCCAAAGCAGGCACTCTTCCTCAGCACACCTTCCCTCACCTGAGGCCTAGCACAGAGCCTCTCCCCCACCCTAAGGTTGCTTTCTCTTCCCTCAAGGGCTCACTCTCAGCCATGCCCCTTGGCACTGACCATGGGGCTAAGGCGGCTCTTCCACGGTGGCCCACGTCATCACTGACATCCTAGGGTTTGATCCAACCCTCTTAGCGGGCCTGCGTCCCCTGTGCCTGGGAGCAGCTTAGGGTAGGGCATGTGAGGCCCATCTTCAAATCAGCTCTAGGCTGGCACAGACCTGGGCCTACGGTTGACCTGATAGAGGCGACTTTGGGAGAGGATCCGACCCCTGGCCTGGATCTCCCTCGGGGACAGGAGATGCCCTCTACAGAGCCTGCCCCTGCCTGCCCCACCCCTGCCGGCCTCCTGGGGGAATGCTCGTACCGCAGTTTCCCGATGTAGCTGTCCCCTCCTCGAGACAAGTCTGTTGGGTCCACAGAGATGAGGTAATTGGAAGTTTTGCTCTTCTTTCTCTTCCTTCCCGCCAGGAGGAACACCTTGGGAGTGGAGCAGGGTCATGTTCCAGGCCCGGCCTCCGGTCCACACACAATCACGGGTGCCACTCACACACCTGCACTCACGAGTGACTCCCTTGCTTCAGCTCTTGAACATATGTGTGTGCACACACATATACACTGACCAGGCAGGGAGGCTTCTGTCTCTTTGGGGGAACTGGCAGGTCAGTGCTGGAGCTGAGGCTTCCAGTCCCATTCCAGCCCCCAGGACTTCAAGCCCACAGGGTGAAAACCGTGTGTCCAAGCCAACCTCACCTTCCTCCCATCCTCACGGTCCAGGTGCAGAAAGTAGGTGGGGTACATGCCCCGGTCCATGCCCTTCTTGTCCCGTGTGATGCGGCACTTGATGGTGATCCCCTGCGGGGCCGGCCTCAGGGCAAACTCCTCAAGATCCTGGACCTCGACATCCACCGACGGCTCTGGGGCTGGGGGGCTGGGGGCTGAGGCTGCCTCCTGCGGAGGAGAGAGGAGAAGCCTGAGCCCCAGGGACCCTGAACAGCTGAAACTGGTGGTCTGGTATCCAAAGCTGCCCCCAACGTGGTAGTGGTGGGAGACAGGGCAGGCCCCCTGGGATGTGGACCCAGCTATCCTGGCCCTGGGACCAGCAGCTAGCTTCCTAGCCCTTCCCTCACCTTAGCAGCCCTAGGGGTGGGGAAGGAGGAAATGGGCAGGTTCTCAGGGGCCATCCTGTCCAACTCCAGCTGCCCCCAGCCCCCAGCCTGGCTGAAGAGACTGGGAGGACAGAAGAGCCCAGGCCGGAGAAGCTCCTGATAGGCACCTGGGCCCATCCCCTGGCCCAGAAAAGCCAGCTCCCCGTCACTTCACACTCATTCCCCTCCCAGCTGGGTGACACTGCCGCCTGCCCCTCTGCTGAGCAGGAAGCTCCGCACTCACCCTGATCGACTTCCTGCTCGTCGCAGAGCTGGGGCGGGTGTTGCTGTTCAGCTGGGAGGAGCTGGAGCTGTTCTCGTCCTCATCCTCCTCCTCCTCTTCGAAGCTCATGCTCCTGGAGACGCCTGGGCCACAGAGGAGCGGAAAGGGACGAGTGGTCACACAGGCACTGCAGGTCACTGGTTCCCAGGCTCTGAGTCACCCACACGTGCAGAGCTGCATGTACACATGTGCATCCACACACTCCCACACATACAACCAGATGCACACAAGGACATTTTCTCTCTGGTGCGTACGAGAGCTGGGGCTGGTCACTATCCCCAGGTGCAGCCCCCCTCCCAGCTTCAGCCATCAGACCCGCCCTCTCTAGCGGTCAGGGTGCCCTGTCTCCGTGTAGCGAGTCCTGAGTTGAGCTGACCCCGCACTGGGAGCCTCCACTTCTGGCCTCAGGCCTACTAGAGGCCTTGGCTAGCACAGGCCGTGAAATCTCGGGAAAGGCCCGACTCCTTACTCAGCCTGATGCGTGGGGCCCACCAACTCCTCTCCAAAGCCTGCCTGGGCCCCCTGGCTACGTGCTTCTCCACACCTGCGATGCCATCTCCAGCCTCAAGGTGCCTCAACAGCCCTCTCTCCGGGAAGCTATCCCATGGTCGGGAAACGACCACGGGCAGCAGGTTTCCTGGGAGGATCTGCCTTGCCTCTCAGCCTCCTGGCCCTGCTCCCCCTAGCTCAGCAGACAGAGGGGGCACGTTTCGCAGGCAGGAGCTTTTTCAAAGGAACCAAAGGGAAAGGAAACCTGTCCCCAAACCTGGGCCTCCCTGGGGGCAGGTGGGGATGGGGAGAGACAGGGCGGGGCTGTGGGCTGGTTGGTTACCTTAGTTCACACTTCTTCCCTTAACTCAGCCGTAGCAGGGGCCCCTCCCTGCCCAAGTTCCTCATTGCTCTCCAAGTGTGCCCCACACCAGGGCCTGGGAGGGGCTGGAACAGACACAGGAGAGTCACGCTCCCCAAGAAGGATGCATCTGAGAACCTGGGGCTGGGCTTGGGGGGCGTCACTGGACCCCCACGGGGCTCACCCTTCCTCTGCATCATAGCACGGATGTCCTGCCCACTGGGCCGTGTGCCCCCACCAGCGGCTGTCTCCCCACCATCCCAGGCGTGGTCTGCCTGGCCCACAGTCAGGATCCGCATGGGGCCTCGGGCCTCGGGCCTGTCTTCTGCCAGTGCTGCTGGCCCGCTGGTGCCTGCAGGCCATGGACACTCCTGAGTCCCATCCCGGGGTGGGGAGGGCGGGGGGAAAGCCTGGATTCTCAGATGTCCAGGAAGAGGGTGAGGGAAGAATGGGGGGACCCTCTGAAAACTTCATTGGCAAAACCGATTTTTTTAAAATGAATGACAGCTGTCTGTCAGCCTCTTAATGATCAGTGAGCTAGGAAGGGGCATGGGCTCCGTTTCTTCTGCTGTTCCCCCACATCTGTGGCCGAGGGTAGGACTGAAATGCCTCACATCCCAGGCAGACAGCAGCCAGCTCCAAAACCAACTGCACGGTGAGAAGGACAAGAGGGAGAACAAGGCTGGATCCGACACAGCAAGGCCAGCACTCGGCACAGACGCGGCCAGCTCCACGTCGTCAATGCTGATCTCTCTCCCTCACACACGCAGACTCACACACGTTGTAAAAACACATAGGGCCCCTCAAAAAAGACAGGTCGGCATACACTTGCTTTCCCGAATGGAGGGGCTCCCATCCCCCGTCAACCTTCCTGCCCAAGTTGCCACAGCTTCAGGACCAGAAGCAAGGCTCTACCCAGAATGCTGTGGTCAGCTCCACAAGCCCACGGACCCTGACACACCACTGTCCAACCACGACCCAGAGGCCCGGAAGCCACTCCGCATACAAGGCTTGAGGAGACAGGGTGTCTAGTCAGCAGAGACAGGACTCGGGGCAGGGGCCCCTGTAACTGTCCTTGATCTCCAGGGATCTTCTCTGCAGAGGCAGGAGCAGAGGGAACAGACTGGTCTGTGGGGCCCAGAGGGTAGAACTGGGAGTAGGGAAGAGTCGAGGAAGCCCATGAGATGCCTGAGCACTGCCCAAGGTGGGGATGGGCTGCCGGGAGACAGTGAGCCCCCCGGAGGGGGTACCCTGGTCAGGGCGGAGGTAGAGGCGCTCAGGCCCCCCGGGTGGGGAGCTGGACTTCACATCCTGGCAGCCCACGAGGCCTGCCCGCACCCACAGGCCAGCCCGGTGCCGCAGGGGCGAGAGGAGGCCTGTGAGCCAGCCGGGAAGCGGGGCCCGGAGTGCCACGTAGGGCCCTCACCAAGGCCTCCCACCCGGTCCCTCACCCCAAGTCCGGAGGAGAAGCCTCCCGCCAACCCCACAGAGGGGGCTGGGCTTCCTGAGGAGGCCGGCAGTGAGGGCAAAGCTGACCTGGGTGCCTCCCCTTCTTCCCGGAGGCCGCGCCCTGGCCCCCCGCCGCGGCGGCTGCCTCGGTTCTCTTGGCTGAGGCCGGCGCTGTGGGGCGGGTAGCTCCCAATGGCACACTGGCAAGCGAGTCGGCCTCCTGAACTGCTCAGGAGAGAGCGAGAGCGAGAGAGCTCCGTACAATAGGATATATTTCATCCATAAATAGGAATGAAGTTCTGATGTGTGGTACAACACGGATGAATCTTTACAAAACATTATCCTAAGTGAAAGAAGCTGTATACACCAGAGCACATGTTACATAATTCCATTTACATGACATGACCAGAATAGGCAAATAGAGACCAAAAAATAATAATTAGAGGTGGCCAGAAGCTGGGCTAGGGATGGATGAGAAGTGACTGCTAATGGATAATAGGGTGTCTTTTTGGGGTGATGAAAATGCTCTAAAATTAGATTAACATGATTGTTGCACAATTTTGTGAATATACTAAAAACCATTGAATTGTACTCTTTAAAAGGGTGGATTTTATGTTCTGTAAATTATGCCTCAGAGAAGCTGTAAAACAAATGTCGTGGTCAATGCAAAGTACCATATTAAGTCAAACACAATGGTGATGTTTTAAACAGGATTGTGGAGATAACTGCACAGTCATTTGTGGGTTTTCTGGCAGTCTTAGAAAAATCATGGATGTGAGATGGAATGCTGATTGTATTAATTCCTGGAGGAAAAGAGAGAAAGAGAGAGAGAGAGCGAGAGGGGGAGAGAGAGAGAGAGAGAGAGAGAGATGGGCGCAAGGTGAGACCAGAGCTCCAGCACACTTCCCAGTTCCCCCACCACTGGCCAAGGCCCGCCAGGGCCTCCACACGCCGCCTCTGCCAGGCAGGCCAAGCGGGAAGGAGGCGGCACCAGCCCAGCCCCTGCGGGGTGCTAAGTCAACAGCCTGGCCCGCACCACGGCCAACCCAGAAGCAGAGCAGTCTGGGAGGGGGTGGGAGAGCGTCTGGGAGAATGTGGGCCATCGAAATGGTGGGTGAAAGACAGAAAAGCTGCAGCCCCTGGGAGAGACCACAGCGAGGGCCAGCACCCCAGGGAGCTGCACTGGCCTCATGGGATGAGCCCCTGAGGCAGGACAATAAGGGACACCAGGAGCCGCACGCCAACAGAGAGGTCTCGGAAGGGCCACTGCTGGGTGTCTCCACGCTCTCCACACTTCAGAACCCCAATCTGCTCAAGGTCCTTGGGTGGTTTCCTAGTGCTCTTAAGATGACCACCGACATCCTCCTGCAAGTCTGGCCTTCCCCTTGGCCTAACTGCGCGCTCCTCAGCTCTCGGGCACCCCAAGTCCCAGGTGCACCAGGCTCCTCCGGTGCCTTGTACGTCCTGGACTCCCTCCTGCCACGGGGCCTTGCTCTTGCGGTCTCACCACCTGAACCACCCTCATTGCTCCCGCCCACGCTCCCACCAACTCCCATTCATCCCGCAGATTCCAGCTCAGACATCATCTCCTCAGGGAAGCCCTTCTCTGGCCGCTAGCCTGGGAGCAGGCTCTCTGCCACTCACTCACTGGGCCCGGCTTCTTTCCGCAAAGCACACCTGTAACAATCTACTTCATTCTCTCTCCTCCTAGACCTTAGGGTCCATAAGAGAACACAGACCACATCCGTTTGTGCTCACCCTGGACCCCCAGCCTCTAATCCAGAGCCTGACACGAACAGACCCTCAATAGACATTTAAGCAATGGGTAAATATACAACATGAATGAGCATGGCCAGTAGGTCAGAAACTCATTACTTGGATAAACTGTCAGTTCTGATTTATGTCACACTCCCTCATCTTCCTGAGAATGATCCCCTTGTATATAACACCAAGTGCCAGCAGAGGGCAGAGCAGGAGGCAGCGGAGGCTACAGGGGGCAGGGTGGGCGGGGCTCCTGGAAACCGGAACCCCAGGTCAGCCCGCTGGGCGAGCAGCCTCCTCAGAGCGGGGGAAGCCGGGTCTGGAGTCTCAGCGGGGGACAGCATTCAGCTGACTGGCTCGTGGAACACACCATGGCTGCTTCAATTTTCAAAGCCCTGAGACACAACTTTCCTCACTTTACAGGGCAGGAAACAGACCCAGAGAAGGTAAGTGACTCGCTCATGGGGACCAGCGAGCAGATGACAAGTGAGCAAGCTGTCTTCTGACTTGGGCCGTTCGCTCTGTCTCAGAGGGGCTGCAGTCTCTCTGCGGGGCTGGCCCTACCCGGCACACAGTTGGTGCTCAAGAAACACCTGCCAAAGTGACCGCACAGCTGTGACCTGCCAGACTCTCTCAAAGTCTCAAGACGTTGGCTCTGGCGCAAACTGGCCTGAAGTCCCAGGAGCAGGCTCCCCTCCCACGGGTAGCCTTGGATGGCCAGGTGCCAGGCTCCACTGGATGCAGAACCGCGGGGGCCTTCTCTGCAAGGCACTTCCGCCACCCTTGGGGCGGCACCCACAGACGAAGCATGCGGAGAAGCCTGCCAGGTTAGGGTGGGGCTGGAGGCCAGTTCCCTGTGGAGCAAAGCTGGGACTGCCTCCGAGACCGACCCTCCTCCGAAGGGCCTCTCAGGTGGAGCACAGACACACCAGCTGTGGCCCGAGCTGCTGAACTGAAGCACACAGGGGCGTTGCTGTGAAGGGGCCCCGAGGCGAGGCAACGACCAGTAGACTGAAGTGGCTGGAGGCAGCACGCCCTGAGGAAGCCGCAGAAGGAGGGGAACACTGTGGCTCCTTCCAGCTGCAAAAGCCAGATGCCTGCAACCTTCTTAGAGTCACTGGCTGATGGAGAAGCCCCCCTGTGGTTGCCGCCACCAGCAGGGGGCAGCGGGGACTGAGTCTGAGTCCTCCTTTCAGGCTCAGAGAGACCAACCGTCCGCTCAGCCCAGGGTCCTGAGCAGGAAGGAGGGTGCCGAGCACTGGGATGCAATGGAGCCACCCGGTCCCCGGCCCCAGGATGAGCTGCGGAGAGTCCCCTGCCGAGAGCCACAGTGTACAAACACAGAAGGGAGCTGCAGGCTGCTGGCTAGCACGGCTCCGTGCAGGCACCTGCAGGCCAGAAGCCAGGACACTGAGGGTGTGGGAAGGCCAGGGCGGGGAGGCAACAGGTGTCTGTCATAAGAGGCACTGGGCAGGCAGGAAGCTAAGATGGATTCCTCCCAGGAGGCAGAATGCTGGCAGGCAGCAGACTGTTCTGCTCCTGGGAGCTGCCTCCTGCTCTCAGGGAAATGTTTCAGATCAGAAACCTGGACTTTTGAACTCCAGGGTCCATAAAGCTGTCCCTTCTGGCCCCAGCAGCAGACTCAGGAGCCCAAGGCTCCAGGTCCCAGCCTCCCTCCGCCTGCCCCACTCAGCTGCCCATCTGGGCCGGGAGCCATACTCAGCCTGGGCACCCCTGACAGGATGAGCCCCCCACCTACCCAGGGCAGCAGCAAGTCCCGGAGGGGCTCCCCAAAGCAGTGCTGGGGTCTAAGGCTGCAGCGCAGGGGCCTCCCCAGGCTGTCCCGAGGGTGGGGTGTACCTTGGTAGCTGGCACTGCCGCTGCTGCTGAGGTAGGACTCCACCAGGGGGGCCTGCTCCTCCGACCGCCGGGCCCGCCGGCTCCGGGGCCGCCCGTCGGCGTTGGCCTGCACCATCAGGGGCTCCTGGCGCTTTTTCTTCTGCTTCTGCTCCAGCAGGGCCCGCTACAGGGGCAGCGGACAAGCACAGGAGTTGGCGGGCCCTGAGAGGGCCGGCCGTCTCGCCCCGACGGGACCGGAGAGGACCTGCTCGCTCAGCTCGCTTCCAGAGGTCACGGTGCGGCCCACAGCCCACCCTGGCCTCATGTCCTTGGTGCCCCAAGATGTGGGGTGCAGCGGAAGCCGGCAAGTGTCAGCCCAGGCAGCTGCCCTGGCAGGATCACGGCACAGACGTCCAACTGCGGTCACCCAAGCTGCCTGCCGGCAGAAGCCCCAGATGCCGGGGCAGTGCTGATGCCGAGCTGGTAAAGGAGAGAGCTCGCCTCTCTTCTCCTGGGAGGGGCCCCTCTCCCCACCAGACAGGATCACCCCAGGGAGGAGGACAGCCCTCCCCCCGGCCCAGACTCTGGCCGGGATAGCCAGTGCTGACCACCCTTCCGCCCGGCTCCAGCCTCACTCACCTGCCGGTCAAGCTTCTGCTGCCTCAGGTTGCTGCCCTCATCATCTAAGACACTGCGGACGGAGAGACGAGTATTCAGGGCCTGCCCACAAGGAGCCAGGACAGCCCAGAGACCACCCCCAGCCATGTCTGGTCTCTTTAAACCCCTCCCGTCATGGCTGCTGGGCATGGGAGGGGGGGGGAAGGGTGAAGCTACTATCTGGGAACCAGCTTGTGACACGAAGCCATCTTTCTGCCACTTTGGGGACTTATCTCCTGCTGGGATGCCTGCTCCCCAAGGACTTCCCAGTCCGCCCTGCCCCAGTAAATATAGAGGAGACATTCCCCTTGGGTCCATGAGAAGGGCCAGGCCTGACTGAGATCCAGAGGCATCAGGCACAAGCCAGGCCCGAGGCTGGGCTTCAGACCCAAGGGCCTGTCCCTCCAGCTCCATCTTTCCATCTTTTCTGGTGGAGGTTGGGTCTTCTGAAGCAGACTCTCTCCCCACCTGTTTAAGGCAAACTCCTGGCTCTCCAGGTGGTAAAGTGGAAATGCTGACACTGCCCACCCCCCCCACCCCACTTAAAGAGGACTGAAGGTCCCCTCATTTGGGAGAGTGAAACTATGACACCAACCAGTCCCTCGGGAAATGGCTAGGGCTGGGTGCAGATGTGCACAGGGCAGACACAGCACAACAACGCACAGCCCATCAACCGGCCACCGGGCCCTTTCCCTGGCCACAGACACAGTGTGGGCGGTTGCAGGGCATCAAATCCTTGAGTCCCTACCTACGGTGTTGGAACGGGCAGCATCATCTCACACAGACCAGCTCTGCTGCCAAGTGAGGCAGAGCACAAGTAGGGATCCCCAACCACTTAACTTTGTTTCTAGTCTAAGACACATGCATGAGACCTAGGCCCAAACCTATAAAGCCAAGGTCAGGACAGCTGCATGGGGTGGGGTTGGAGCCTGAGGATCTGAGCTCTGGGAACCCCAGGCTGCCCTGGCCCAGTTATTCCAGAGCCTGCCCCTGAATCAGACCTTGTGTGGATGCCTGCACAGGTATGTCCAAGTGTGTTGGGTTTGTGTGTGAGGCTGCAGGAATATCTCATGCATGTGCACTGGGAGATGTCCAAATGTGTGAGGGCATCTACATGTGTAAGCACATACCTGAACATAAATGCATGCAGACACCTGTTTAAGCGGTGGGTGTGCTTGCGTGTAGCTGAGTACAGTACACACGTAAGGGGGAAAGATGAGGTCACATCACCCTGAAGACAAGGTGAAGCATTTCCACCTACTTCTGACAGCAGTAGCCCTTTCCAACTGGAACAATGGACCTGAAACGTCGTCTCAGCTCAGGCAAACTACTTGTGCTGCGGAAGCCAGCCAAAGGGTGGCAGCAAGTCCATGGATTGCAGACAGCCCACCACCCACCTCTGGCTTCACCTCCCTGGCCACAACCTGTGAAGACTGCATATTTTGAACTAGCAGCTGTCCTACCTACTTGCCATCAGGGAAGGACTTTCCTGATGCCCATGGGCTGCTCTACACGCAAGAGGAGCCCCAGTTGTGATCTGGGGCCCTGCACAGAACAGCCTCATTCACCAAACCCTCAGCTGCCAGAGCACAGGAGAACACACTACTCAACAGACACGCTTCTAGTCAAGGCCTCAGTCTACCTAAAGTAGCCCACCTCCCTAAGAGCGCACAGCTGCACATGGCCTCCCTGAGGGCAATGCCAGGCCCAGAGGACAGGAATAGCTCTGAAAAATCCCAGCTGGCTGGGGTGGTGAGTATCCCATCACAGAAGGCCGCACCACAGGCTGGAGGGGGGCACCAGGGTGAGCAGGATGCCTGGGAGCCCTGTCAGGTCCGAGAGGTTACAACTCCTCCTCCTGTCTCTCCACCTCCAGTCCATGGCCTGACTGGAGAACGCAAGGGCGAAACATCTTCAAAGGGTGAGTGTGCAAACACCACTGTCCACTGTGGTCTGTGGCGTCCAGGATATGGGTGACAACTACAGTCGGGCTCTGTGTGCCACCTGGCCGAGAGGAGCAATGGGGCCTGAAATCCAACTGCGCCCTGCTTGCCATGCTCTGTGCCTGGCCCACACGGGGAGGCCTGCCATCTCAGGCATGTCCTGGTGGTTGGGCCACAGGAGCCCATGTCACCTCCACAAGGCAGTGCTGGCTCCTCCCCTTCCTGCCAGCAGGAGAGGCCATTCCCTTGCTCACTGGGATGACGCGAGCCACTGCATTCTCACAGGGCAGGGCCGGGGGCAGTCACCTGAGTCGTCCCTAGCCCTGGGCTTGGCTGAGCAGGACACAGACGATTATTTCCATGGTGCTGACACCATGAAAGGTGCTAACCCCTAATATGAAGGGGAGACATCCCACTGAGAGGTAAGCTCGCGTTAGCAATGCCACCTCCAAACTGCTGGTCACAGTGGCTGCTCGACTCATGCATGAGGGGAGGACGTCTTCCTACCACAGGCCACTGTCCCACTTTCCATGCAGTTCCACGAAAGCGTCACTTCCTCTTCCTCTGTCCCCACCCCATTCCCAGACGGGGGAGAATGACAAAGAGCCTTGGGCTTTAGTAACACTGGTCAGCAGGTACGATTATAGGTAGAATGGACTTAGTCACTGGCCTTCAAAGAAAGATGGATGAACACAAGGGTGAGGCTTCTGAAGAGATTCCAAAAACTCAAGACACCCCAGAAGTGCCTGGAGAGCCGCCCACCTCTTCCCTCACCACCAGGCACCAGGCTGCAGGAGTGGACGATGCAAGGCTGGGTGAAGCAACACGTGCTCGGTGAATAAGGACACGCCTGGCTGAGCAAGACCCATCCAGGAGGGCCGACAATCCAGCCGAATGAGCAGGCTCCGAGAGTGGGCAGCGCCTCGTGCAGGACAGCAGGCTCCTGGTACAGCACGGCGTTTCCAGGAGAGCCACAAAGGCACCAGGTGGACCACATCACCCAGCACGGGCAAGCCTGTACCGGGTGGTGTTCCTGCCTGACAACAATGTATCCGGAGCACACAACATCTGTCCCTGGTGAATGACAGACTCCCCTGCACACAGCTGAACAATGACAATAATGACGGCGTCTCCAGGGACAGCAGAACCGAAGCTCCTCTCTCCTCCGCAGCAGGCCCAGGCCCCCTCCCCTCCCCGTCCACCAGATGTCCCTGCCTTCCCACCTCCTGTGACGGAATCTCTCCTAGGCATCTTCCTTCCTCAGGACACACCCAGGCCTGCCTCTTTCTGACGGCACTGTTCTAGACAGCACTAAACGATAACCCTGAGAGCAGACAGTAATGGCTTTTTAATGACTCGGGCTCCTATTATGGAACCACTGCCAAGCCCAGGCTGCCAGCTGCAGCCCCGCCAGGAGACTCAGACAGGAGACAGGGCACTGATGGATGGGTCTTCCAGCTGACCCTGGCGGCTCCTTCACGACGGTCTCCTCTTGCTGAGGAGCGGACCAGGGAGGCCCCGGGAAACACCGGTCACTGGCTCATGAAGGCCAGAGAAACCTGGTGTGCTGTGTCCACCCGTCCATTTGCTCTGTCCAAGGCCCACCAAGTGGCCCCCTCACCTCCCAGGAGACAGCCCCTCCACATCCCCTTGCTTCTTCTGAGGCGCCAGACAGGTATCCGAAGAGTGAACCATGTGTGACAACAAAAGAGTCAGGGACATTTCCCCCATGGCTGGAACAGCCAGGCTTGGCCAACACAGTTAGGAAGCAGGTGCCCCCTCTCTTAGACCCCACCTCCATGCTGCAGCTAATCCACCAGAGCTGACCAGAGGCCTGGCGGCCAGGCCAACCTCAGGGCAGACCCACTCTCCATGCCCACTCCCCGCCCTCTGCCCTCCTTCCTTCCCCTCAGCCACAGTGGAACCTGCCCCTGCTGGATTCAGGCAATCAGGGAAGTGGGCTGTCAGGGGAGGAAAGACCACCCAATGTGCCTGGCTGCAAACTCTGTGGCGCATGCCAGACCCCACCCGCCCACCCAGCATGTCTGGATCTGTGGCTTCTGCTGCCGAGTGGCTAACTGGAACATCGCGGGAAAGACACAAGGTGGGGCAGCTCCAGAAGGGAGAGGACCCCACTGCTCACAAGAGTTCCAGCCTCACAAGATGAGGCGTCTCCATTCCAGCCACTGGCTCCCAAACTTACCAGGTGAATCCAAACTGCTGGGGGCACTCAGCCTCACCTGATAATTCAGACCTGCTGGGGAAGATGCCCCACAATGAATCGTCCACCTTACACTTCCTTTTTTAAAGCAAGTGACTTAGGTGATTCTAATGCTCAGCCATGCAAACAGAGACCAGGAGCCAGAGCTGGGGATCTCTAAAGAACAAAAAAGAAACTGAGGAGCTGCTCTAAGGCTGGAAGCATGCAAACACAGCCTTCTGTTCAGATGGGGGAAGAAATTATAGTGTGCAGATCAATGTGGCCCCAGGTAAGACCGTGTGGAAGGGGTCAACTGAATAGCTAGAAGGGACGTGACCGTTAGGGTTAGGCCAAGTGTGCCAGCAAGTCAGGGCACACGTCCACGGACCTATCAGAAAAGACAGGAGGACAGTACAGCCAGGCTTCCGCGTGGAGCTACAGGGGCCAGCAGCGATACCATGCGGGCGAGACAAAGCCACGTAAGCGGTATGCCAGGCCAGTCAGACGGACAAAGGTTCTGGCAACAGTGCGTCATGCCATCATCAAAGGAGGTTTTTAGCATCATGCTGCTCTTGGTTAGCGAGTTTATCAGTGACCTGACACAAGGCAGCCCTCTCAGCAGACTTACAGGGGACACAAAATAGAAGAGATACTAACTGTTCACTAAGAGAGTATGAATTCAGAAGCCCCTGGAAACCTAACGGGAAGTGGCCAAGTCTTACAGGTGGGCCCCCAAACCCAGGTCTTCCCATGCAGGCAGAATGGAGGAGACAGGGCTTGACAGCAGCCTGATGAAAGACTTTGCGGTTTTGTTCACAGAGGCCTTGAGGTGACTGATCAGTATCAAAGCCATCCCATGGGGGTGCTGAGGCCTGGAGGACAGCGACAGGA